AAAGCCAATAGAAAATGTTTAGTGCAAGACAGCCTAGCATATGACAGCACAACATCTAGCATGAGACTGGAGGTGGAGGCGGTAACTGCAGCTCTCCGGTGGCTAGAGAACAAGATGCATACACATGTCGTTATTTTCTCAGACTCTGAAAGCATGCTGACAAAAGTGAAGGCAGGGATGCTTCGAGCAGAGTGGCAAGCTTCACTGGAAAGTTCACGGGTAGTTAGCATACTTTTGATCTTCTCTCCAGGCCATGCCGGCGTGGTGGGTAATAGACAGGCAGACAAATTGGTAGGATCTGCAAAACTGGGTGGTGAAGTGATACATGACAAGGCAGATGTGGTCAAGGCCCTTTGGGAACAAGCAACAGAATCACTAGAGAAAGAAGATTATTATGGTCTGGAGAGAATTAGGCACCTTGGTGTAACCAGAGGGTTTGGCCGGCTGCAAACACTCAGAGGAAAGGCAAGACGGACATTTAACCAGATTGTGACCGGTACCATCAGTATTGGAACTCTGTGCTAGCTGCTGAAGATGAGGACGTAGCATGCATGGGAATGCCCCGAGTGCTGTTATGTCCATTTTTGATTCAACTTAACTCAACTTAACTCAGTGAAGCGAAGTATTTTCGCAGAGAGGTTGTTGAAATAAAAAAGACATACATCTTAATTAAATTTCAAGACTACTCAACAACGATGGCTGAAGAAATAAGCAGCAAAGCATATCCCCTGACAGATCAGACATTGACAGAGCAACTTTTGGAACTTCTACAGCAGGGTTCCAAAGATCTAGATTAGTTGCGTATCCTTTACAGGACGTTGCAGAACCAACCCTAACAGCCTGGCCGTTGTGTGGTTTTTCTCGGCAAATTTACGTCCAGTAGTTTGCCATTGCTTTCGTTTCAAAGATAAGCAGCTGAAAAAAGGGGCCAATGAAACCACTAAGACGCTGAATCGATGACAGGCAGAATTCATTGTTCTAACAGCAGATGCCATCCGTGCCAATTGAAATTCTCTTGCACCTGTCCTTGATATGCGGGGACAAAAACGTACCGTATATTGTCATACGATCAAAACAAGCTTTGGGAAGAGATTGTGGTGTGTTACGTCCTGTAATTGCCTGCAAAGGGTCCCAGCTGCAGGGTTGCCATACTGGCATTTTTCATGCTAAAATCCACAAATTTGGCATATTTGAAATTGAACTGGCATAAGATGATGAACCGGAATATTTTGGCATATTTGGGTTTTTCCTGGCATTTCTTACCAAGACGTGTTTTAATTTTCTTCATGGTTCCTCCTTGAGAAACGCAGATTTACAAAAAGCAATGTAAGCCTGCAGTTAACATCTTTATTTCAGCTTGACTTTGTTGTGATGTACTGGTACAGAATAACGGAGATTCGTGCCATTTCTTATTGCATGTTATGTTGTTGCCTTCCTAAACGGATCGTGACTGCGATAAATCAAGACCTTCTGTAATTTACGTTAATCTACTAGAAACCAAAAGCCACCACTGATACCAAGCGATTCAGACTGTTCAGATACTACTTGAGGACAAATAAATAGACAGGATGTAGACCTAGTTCTATCTGTGAGAGATTTTATTACTTTTTAAAATAGCAACGTCATCCCCCCAAAAATAGAAAGCATCTTATGGTATCGCAAGTATAGTAGTAATTGGAAGAAAATATACCCCCGGCTAAAAGATCTTCAAACGGATCAGACGCAGCATATTGCAAACTGCGTCAGTGCACTGTACCACCAAGAATTAGTAGCATATCAAATCATGACAAATCCGAAAAACTCAGGATGAAATCTCCGTCAAAAAGCCAGTCACAGCTTATTACAACAATGACTCCTAGGCAAAGTAATGATTAAGTTAAAGGCAGTAAGGTTGCAACTTGTTGTAGGCATGACCTACCATTGTGCAATATGCACAAATGATCATCTAAGTGAAATCATGAGAGCGCATGGTCGGGGGAGTACATTGGAGCACATACAGTTGCATATAACTAAACGTTCATGCAGCGGTTGGACGCATATTTTTCCTGATGATCTGTGTCAAAACTAAACAAACTAATTCTCTGAAAGCAGACACTGTAAAAGATCGAATTCTTGCAAGGCAAGCAACCACAAGAGGAAATGGCGACTGCACGACATGGACACCTAATAAAGAATTGCTAAAAGAATTGCAAAGTGGCGCAATTAGTCAAAGATATTTAAACAGTATTAAAAAAAACAGAAAGAGACGGTGACAATCGAAATTGGTGAAGAAGGAGAGCTGTTAGAGTAACAGTTTAATAAAGGTGGGTATATGTTCAGTTTCACAACTATAAAATACTTTTTGCACAGTGCTGGGTTTTTTATTTTATTTTTTGTTCATATCTTGGGTTTTCGTCAGCCCGATCTGGGTTTTTGACAAAAATCTTATTGGCAGCCCTGTTCCACCGGTTCCAGTGAGAATGACAGTGAAGAATTCATTCTAAAGCTTTTGATGTAAAGTGAGTACAATATTACACTTTATTTGGCATTTTCTGGCATATTTTGGGTAATGGTTTGGCATAAAATGAAGTTTTTTTTTTATCTGGCAACCCTGCTTTTATTTCATTAAATACATATGATCTTGACAGTTATAATTACTAGGAACAAATTATTGTTTCCGTCGACGGCCAAGAACCATCACAAAACAAACAATGGGGTTCGCCCAGGTAACAACAGTAACAACTGCATGTACCTGTAAAGTGACACTGCACACAAGACAGGTTTTCGGAAAACCTGACGCAAATTTGCGGGTTATTCAAAATTTGGGAAGACGACGCCGAACGCTTTCAACTTTCATGTAAAGTAAAGCAACTAAAGCCCATCGATGTGCTAACAACTGCAAGTTCAGACAATGCTTTTAATGTAACTATTCTGATTTTCACCATATGTGGACAGTTTGTTGTGTTTATTTGTAATTAGACAATAGCATATTTAATGTTTTATTCCTACAATTGCTGGCGTTATTTGGAGGAGTGTCCACACTTGCAATTGCATACAACACATTAAATCAATAACGCAAACAGTACAAAAGGCTCTCTCTTACTCTTACTTTCGAAATCGACGCAAAACGGTCACCTACCGAATCGCTTACAGCAAACTCCCGGCAATACAGGATTGTTGAACTTTTTTTTTTTTTTTTTAACAACCCCTAATTGAATTTTACAATGCAGATCGGAGATCCGAATTCTACAAAATTTACAGTGAACTTCAGTTACAGTAATTCATAGGCTTGTTCTTGCCTACTTTTGTTTGCACACAATTGCCATTGACGAAGATATTCAACTATTATTATACTAAGAAGAGTTTAGCAACACAGGTGGCACTGAACCGCCAGACATGGAGAGCTATGACCTCAACCCTATGTGCTGCCTATTGCTCAAGAGGAAAGATTAACTAACCAAATACGGAAATTATAGTTAATTACTGAATACTGTCCATCCTAATTCGAACCCAGTACTCAGAATGTTTGAGCAGGATTCTTTTACGTTCACCCTTAAAGGTAGTTGGCACATTGTGTTATGGTTTACAGCTAGGCAGGGATATCTGCATCTTTTGAACCAACACATCTAATTTGTGCAAACTTCTAATTTTTTGCCTTTTACAACATGCTTGTTAGGAGGCAGTGGATCTCTAATTCTTCTTCTTTACATCCTCTTTTACCACTGTGGGTGTCGAGGGAGATATAAGGTCCTGCTTCATGCTTTTCTGGCTGCTTCAACCATAGACACATTGTGGTACTGTAGAGTTTCTCAGATGTTATCCTTCCATATGGTTTTTGGTCTACCTCTTGCTCTAGTCCCTCTCCTCTTTCTGTATATGCCTTGAATAGTGTAACATCAGAAGGCATCTCTCCAAGTGGGCAAACCATTTTATTTTCTGTCAATCTATATAATTTAGAATTGGTTTTAAGCTGACTTTATCTCGTATGACCTCATTCCTGATTTGATCTTTTCTGGTCATCCTACAATCTTTCTCAGACACCTGATTTCCATGGATTTCTTCTTCCCCCCCCCCCCCCCCAAATGTGGCCATGGAACATAAATTGGATATTATTTCAAATAACAGCTGTAAACGCCGGCAGAAAGTTCTGGTTGCTCATCCTCTCCTGGATATTCGTCATGTTCTAAACTTGAGTTTTGTGTGCACATCCATTTTACAGATCAGACTTAATTTTATGTAGACTGTTGGTTCCTTGTCTTTTATGCAGATGCACTCTGACTTTAAAGGAAACACCCCTAATTAGTCACCTATTATGACATGCTCGGAAAGGGGGGGGGGGGGGGGGGGGAGAAGAAACAGAGCCTGCATAAAAAGAGTCTTTAATTCATACAAGACTTTCTGGGTGGGGAGTCGCCGTGGTGTAATGGCTAGGAGCTCGCCTGCGGATTGGAAAGTCGTGGGTTCACTCCCTGGCAGCGCCAAACTTTTTTTTTTTCAAAAATGACCTTGGCTCCCAGGTCGACCCAACCTTGAGTGGGTACCGGGTGCAGTACTGGGAAGTAAAGGCTGCCTGCGTGATGCTGACCACATCACCCATCTTGTGCCGTTGGTCTATAAAATATAGTCTAGCCCATTATACCCAATATGCCTGAAAGGCGTGGAAAAGGGTCCTTTACTCTACTTTCTGGGTGGTTTCCCAGGGGCCTCATGAACACTGGACTTTGTGACCAGAATCCAGCTGATTCTTTTGAACGATTGTCTAAGCAGGGTCTGAAGCGCTGCTTTGCCTGCGAGTTGGGGGCATAATGCTGTTAGAAAGGCACTGTTGTCATATTTTGCTGCTAAATACTCCCACTGAAGTGAAACAATCCATATTTTCTTATTTTGTTTACCTTTTTAGATATCTTCTGTGATTTTTATAAAGTTTTGTTCATATTTGTTTTCCTAGGTTTCCCAGGCCATATAAAAATTCATCCTTTTTTGTTGTTGCACATCTGTGTTAACTTCACAAATTGTATCACATGGAGAGCCAGTTTTTTGGCACTGAGTTTGGTAAGAATTTCAGAAAGTTGCATTACTGTGAAATAGAAGCGTTTGAAAATAAAATTATTTTCATAAAGCAGAGGACTTTTCTTATTCATCTCTGCCTCCTCCTCCTCCCCCTCCTTCTTCTGCTCCACCTTCTTCTTCTTCTTTTGCTTTCACCCTGAAAAGAGCAGCTAGTACATTGGGGTTTGCAGTTAAGCTGTGATATCTGCTACATTGTATTGGGGCTTACAGTTTAGCTGTGATATCTGTATATTGTATTGGGGCTTACAGTTTAGCTGTGATATCTGTATATTGTATTGGGGCTTACAGTTTAGCTGTGATATCTGTATATTGTATTGGGGCTTACAGTTTAGCTGTGATATCTGTATATTGTATTGGGGCTTACAGTTTAGCTGTGATATCTGTACATTGTATTGGGGCTTACAGTTTAGCTGTGATATCTGGTACATTGTATTGGTGCTTACAGTTTAGCTGTGATATCTGGTACATTGTATTGGGGCTTACAGTTTAGCTGTGATATCTGGTACATTGTATTGGGGCTTACAGTTTAGCTGTGATATCTGTATATTGTATTGGGGCTTACAGTTTAGCTGTGATATCTGTATATTGTATTGGGGCTTACAGTTTAGCTGTGATATCTGTATATTGTATTGGGGCTTACAGTTTAGCTGTGATATCTGGTACATTGTATTGGGGCTTACAGTTTAGCTGTGATATCTGTATATTGTATTGGGGCTTACAGTTTAGCTGTGATATCTGTATATTGTATTGGGGCTTACAGTTTAGCTGTGATATCTGTATATTGTATTGGGGCTTACAGTTTAGCTGTGATATCTGGTACATTGTATTGGGGCTTACAGTTTAGCTGTGATATCTGGTACATTGTATTGGGGTTTGCAGTTAAGCTGTGATATCTGGTACATTGTATTGGGGCTTACAGTTTAGCTGTGATATCTGGTACATTGTATTGGGGCTTACAGTTTAGCTGTGATATCTGGTACATTGTATTGGGGTTTGCAGTTAAGCTGTGATATCTGGTACATTGTATTGGGGTTTGCAGTTAAGCTGTGATATCTGGTACATTGTATTGGGGCTTACAGTTTAGCTGTGATATCTGGTACATTGTATTGGGGTTTGCAGTTAAGCTGTGATATCTGGTACATTGTATTGGGGCTTACAGTTTAGCTGTGATATCTGGTACATTGTATTGGGGTTTGCAGTTAAGCTGTGATATCTGGTACATTGTATTGGGGCTTACAGTTTAGCTGTGATATCTGGTACATTGTATTGGGGCTTACAGTTTAGCTGTGATATCTGGTACATTGTATTGGGGTTTGCAGTTAAGCTGTGATATCTGGTACATTGCATTGCAGTTTGCAGTAAAGCTTTGAAATCTGCAACGCCATCTCTAATTGTGCCTTACAACTAAATGACGTCACTTTTTCAAAAGGAGTCCCTCGGAAATTGGTTACTGGAAGCCCTTTCCATGTGTTGCATCGTGTGACATTTTAATGTGCTTAAGAAGTTCTGTGTTCTGAATGTATTCGTATTACAAATCGACAAGCGGATATTGTGAAGTGGATATAAACAATATTGCTTTCATACTGACTGTACATAAATAGTGCAACTACACTGTGGATAAAAAGTGTCAAGATATTTCGGAGCTCTGGGTAAGTGGATGAAAATAATATTTAATTTACTAACTAACCTCTCACAGCAATTCACTCTTTGCCTCTTTACTAATTGTTGACTAACAGTATAATTAAACGTTGTAGAAGTACACTAATAATATTAATCCTCAACCATTTGTCTTATGCTTCGCGAACACTGGCTGTAAACTCTGGCAGAAACGTCTGGTTGTTCATCTACTTCTTATGCATATTTGGAGTTGTAAGGTCTGTGTTAATTTTTGTAAATTGGCTTCTGCTTCGCGAAAACTGGCTGTAAACTCTGGCAAAAACTTCTGGTTGTTCATTTAATTCTGGGCTTTAGTCTTGTTAAAGACACTGTTTTGAACAACAAGATCCGGTCTCCATAAGGGGAATTTTTGTGTTTGATATGTGTATGTTGCACAGCATTTGCAGTTATATGGTCTTTTTTAATTTGCTTTAATTACCTTTAAAATAATATACTTATGTGCGTTGTTGCATTCAGTATTCAGAAATATGTGTGATGTATTTTTAAACAGTTACCAAAAAATTTGCAATGATAAGGAATTGATTTCATCCAACAAGATGAAACTGGACAAATTTGTTTGTGCTGTTTGTACCTTGAGGATAAATATTTAGTAGTACTATAAGTACTGTTAAGAAAACTGTTCTGGGTGTCAAGTTATTGCACATATCAATTTAATTTTTACTGTGCTTGTTTACTAATTATTAAATGACAGTATAATTATATGTTGTAGTAGTCTACTAATAGTAATAATAACCATTAATCATTTATGTTTATGTTATATATGACATGTGTATGTTTCACAGCAGTATTTTTATGCGCTAAATTTGATAAAGTACAAATACTCCTCCCCCCCCCCCCCCCCCTTTCCGGGCTCCTTAGATGCAACAATACCCTCTCAGAATCAAAGAGTTAGCACTGATATTTCTTCACTTTTGCTGGAATAACTTTCAGTTTATATCCAAACGTTACTGATGTTTATGTTCATGTTGACTGTAGCAAAAGCATTTTTGTTTGTCTGTAAGAGCCTCTGTTGTTATATTTAAATAGCACACTACCTTAAAAATGATGTATAGTTCTATAAAATATGTCAAAAATGAATGAAACTGTAGTTTAATTTGTGTATACATCTCCTAGATAAAAACTGTGGGTGCAGAAGGACTCTATTCTTGCACAAGAAAGGAAAATCCCTGTTGACCTGTTTGGCCTATAAATAGAGAAGGCCGTGGATTTCTGGTACATTGTATTGCAGTTAAGCTGTGATATCTGGTATATTGTATTGCGGTTTGCAGTTAAGCTGTGATATCTGGTACATTGTATTGCAGTTAAGCTGTGATATCTGGTATATTGTATTGCGGTTTGCAGTTAAGCTGTGATATCTGGTACACTGTATTGCAGTTAAGCTGTGATATATGGTACATTGTATTGCGGTTTGCAGTTAAGGTGTAATATCCTTTCGGCCCAACCCATCTGATTTTAGCAGACCCTAAATTAGTTGCCTTTCACAACATGCTTTGGGAAGAAGGAAAAAAAAGGGGGGGGGGGGGTGTGGAAGGGACAGTGGGTCTATTTTTTTTTTTTTAAATTTGAAAATGGAACCCCAGAACTCACACAGGGAAAATATCAACAATTTAAAAATATGCACTTTTGCCTTAAGAATTATATTTCCATCTTTTTAGACCCCTCCCCCCTCCCCCCCAACATTTATTTTCATACTTCTTTCTCACAACAAATAATGATTTCTTGTTTTTGTTGTACTAAAATATTAACAGCCAAGAAATATTTCATTTTTTGACATGAATGCTTTGAAAATAAAATGCTATTTTAAAAAATTGATTACTGGTTCAAAACAGTTCTCATTGCAGTTTTAATTACATATTTCTGTACAGAAAATATAACTAGAAAGTGGGAGGCAAAACAGAATGACAGGGGAGTTATCTACTATGTAAAGTAAGTACAATGTTGAACTTGACATTTTGGAATACATTTTCTGTGTTCAGCTTCAAAAGGGCGGTTGGCATGTTGTATTATGGTTTACAGCTAGGCTGTGGTATATGTCCCTTTTGTCTCAACACATCCTTTTTCAGCAAATCCCTCATCAGTCATCTTTCACCAATGGATGGTAAATGTATCCATGACAAGCTGAATGCGGTCAAGGCCTTTTGGGAGCAAGTTAACATTGAGGAGGCACAAATAGAACATTATGGTTCGGAGAGAATGTAACAACCAGACAACATAGGACTCTAACAACTCTTTTCTCTAACTCTTTAGTTCTTGATTAATGGTATTCAAAGAATTTTTCTGCAGCATTTCACTTCAAAAGCTCCAGTTGTTTTCTTCAGTGATTTTATAAGAGTTCATGACGCACATCTACAAGTTGCATGGTAACGATGCATGATTCTCCAACATGTTAACTTTAACTCACTTGCAGGTGCTGGGTCTTAGGTTCTTTGTGCTGTTTGATCACTGTGCGACTTCCGATCATGTGACTTTAATTTGTCTTCCATCTGATTATATGTGAATGAGACCAACAACACTTGAGTGGATAGAATTATTTTACAAAGCTGTTTTCCTTATAAAAGTTAGTTCATGGTACATTGAAAACTAAAATTTGTTTTCTTTAACAGAATTAAATATGATGTGTAATTATTTTATGTTGTTTACTTGTGATTTATAGTTATTTCTTTTTTTTTTTAATTTCAGCAGTACAAAACAGACAACAAGCTGGAACCATCCATACTTCAACAAAGTACTTGAAGATTTGGGTATGTCTTTTGGGTTAAGAAACACAAATCTTCCATACATTAAGTTTATTTTCAATAAGAGAGCCATGTTTGACAAATTCAGTAGTATTTTTACGAGGGGCTTTCAGAAAGTAATGAACTATATTATTTTTACGAGGGGCTTTCAGAAAGTAATGAACTATATTATTTTTCTCAGCTAATGAAGGTAGGAGTATGACATTTTTACACTTCAAATATAGCAAATGCCTTTTGTGTGTACCAAACTTGACTGCTGCTGACCAAATACAGTTGTCCTAAAACTTGAAATAAGTGTGTTAGCAATTCGCGTTAGGAGCAGCGAATTGTGATAGAATTTCTTGTTGCAGAGGAGAAAACTGTTGTGAACATTCACAACAAACTATATGGTGTTTATTGAAGTTTTGCTGTTGACAGAAGCACAGTCAGTCACTGGGTTCAGAGAATCAGTCACATGATTATCATAGTAACTTCAAATTTATCACGGGGTCTTTCTGTTTACATAAAGTAGGCTAGTGGAGTTTTATTGATTCAGCCTTGACCACTTTTAGCAAACATCTGTTCAGTGTGTGGGAAATAATCTTGAAAGCACAATCTTTATCAGCTATATGTCCAGAGCCCAGACTCAGTTTCAACATTTAGAAAATAAAAATGAGTTTGTATAGCTATTACGGATTAAAAAGAAATAATTGCTTAGGGATTTTCCCTTCTAACCAGTGCTATGTGAGGATGCATGCAAGTGTTCATTATCTGTTGTCTTGCTTTGTACAAAGTGTTCCTTCCTTCCGTATTCTTTGCCCTGGTGGAAATCTTTTCCTGATGTCTGTAAAAGCTGGATATCAATGAATCAAAAACTGTCATCCCTGCACTTGGGACACTCCCACAAGTGTTCCATCCCCTTCTTCAGTAACCAACGAATGTTGAATATCCTCCAGAACCTCTACTCTACTGGATACAACTTGTCTTATGATCATGTTTTTTTTAAAATTGTATTAAAAAAACTTCTGGTGGTGCGCAGCAGTTGAACTGTTTATAATGTGTCATTTTTGTTTTCAGCGCTACTGTAATAGACATCTTGTGGGGACTACTGGCATTTGTTTTAATTTTAGACACTTTATGGCAGCAGTTCTTTACCTATGGGTTGCTAAAGTTTTGTGGGTCGAATGACCCCTTCACAGGGGTCGCCAAAGACCATCATAAAACAAATATTCACTGAAGTTATAAAGTAGCAACGAAAATAATTGCATGGTTGGAGGGTCGCCACAACATGAGGAACTGTATTAAATGGTTGCCTCATTAGGAAGGTTGAGAACCACTGCCTTATGCTGAGTACCGGCACTTTATTTTCCAGAAGGAAAAAACCCTGCTTATTAGGATAACTGTGAACATGTGTTCACGTATTTTTTTTGGTAAACAGCTTTTGTTGATTGTTGTAACTTTAAATATACAAGAAAGCTGTATGTCGAAGAAATCTGGTCTTTTTCATCACAGGAAAGTTAACAAAGTGAAGTTCCTGTTCTCTGTTTCTGGTTCTCACACATATAGAATCAAGAAACATAATTTTCACCCTGTGATAAAACAGAAATAATACACAAATTAGATGTGCTTGCTTTCAGCTTTTTAAATTCATATGCTGAAGTTGTTATGGATTTAAAAATGTGGTCAACTGATGCATGACAGGGCAGATTTTGTCAGGGCCCTTTGGGAACATGTAACGGAATCAGTAGAGAAACAAGATTATTACGGCCTGGAGAGAATGAGGCACCTGAGTGTAACCAGAGGGTTTGGCCGACTTGCTACACTCAGAGGAAAGGCGAAACGGAGCTACAACCAGATTGTGACTGGTACCATCAGTATTGGAACTGCGCTGGTTGCTGAAGATGAGGACGGAGCACTCATGGGAATGCCCCTAGTGCTGTGATGTCAATTCTTGACTTAACCAATTAACTCATCTTTTTAAACTGTAAACTGGGCAGATTAGCATCTTGTGTGTGTGAGAGATAGCTTGGTTTATTAATGATCACTTTTGTTGCATGTCGGAAAACACTGTAAATACAGTTTTCTGTTTTCAGGTCAATACAAAAACATTAAGTATGCTGCCTATCGCACGTCCCTCAAGTTGAGATATCTACAGTCCCACATTGGATGTAAGTAAATTAAACTGAAAAAGCTTAGAAATAATTGCAAACGGGCACACAATTATATATCTTTTGCTTGCTGGTTGTACCCTACTAGGACATCACACAAGCAATAAACACCCGGTGACACGAAGTGCCACCATGTGGATGAGGATCACCTGTGGAGAGGTTCCAGAAACCCTTTTTAGCTGTTATGGCCACAATTGTGGCCCAGCTATATTCAGGGCTCCTAGCAAAAGCCAGGCTGGGGCTTCAAATAATGAAAAAATTGCATCCCACAAGGGGATGACTAGGGTGACATGTAAATATGTCTTTAAAAAAAATCAAAGCAACATTTCCACATTGTGAATTTGAACAAAGGAGTCACAAAAAGAAGACTGCACAATTTAATGGCTTGGTATATTTCATAACATTATTTGGATCTCATCAGGTACATACTACAGTAACAATTGATTAGAATGAAGTAAATAAACAAATCCTCCTAACTGAAAACACATGCAGTTACTTTTTAATGCTGCCAGTTTTAAGCTTGCCTAGATAATTAATTGTTTTATTAACTGAAAATAAACTTATTAATCGAACAAAGACAAGATCACAAATGCAGAGGTGTATGAAAGAGTTGGCATCACAACAGTTTTCTCATTGCTCAGTCCTCACTCAGTCCTGGCTAGGACACCTTTGGAGAATAGAGAATGGTAGAGTTCCTAAGGACATCCTCTAGGTGAATTACAGATACTTAGACGATGTTAAGGGCAGCCTCTCCTACGATAAAAAAATGTTTGTAAGTGGGAAATGATACAGGTAGCCAGCGGGTGCTACGGGGCTGGAAGCTCAACAGTTGATCACGACAATTCACGCCCAGGTAATCTGATTATCGATACAGATAGTTCGGTGTTGTGAGGAAAGAGAAGTGCCTGGGGGTTCGTAGCGAAAGCCAATGGAAAGTCTTTAGTGCAAGACAGCCTAGCATACGACATCACAACATCTAACATGAGAATGGAGGTGGAGGCAGTAACTGCAGCTCCGGTGGCTAGAGAACAAGATCCATACACATGTCGTTATTGTAACACTCTGAAGGCATACTGAGAAAGGTGAAGACATTGATGCTTCAAGCAGAGTGGCAAGCTTCACTTAGAAGATCTCGGGTAGTGAGCATACTTTGGATCTTTTCGCCAGGCGATGCCAGCGTATTGGGTAATGAACAGGCAGACAGATTTACTGGATCTGCACCACTGGGTGGTGAATTGATACATGACAAGGCAGATGTGGTCAAGGCCCTTTGGGAACAAGCAATGGAACCAGTAGAAAGATTATTATGGCTGGAGAAAGGGTCTGGCCAGCTCACTACACTCAGAGGAAGGTCAAGACGGACTTATAACCAGATTGTGATCAGTATTGGAACTCTGCACTGGCTGCTGAAGATGAGGATGGAGCATGCATGAGAATGCCCAGAGTGCTGTGATGTCAATTCTTGACTCAACTCAACATGATACAGGTATTGAGGCAGATTCACGGGAACAGAATTCCATGGACTGTTGCATGGAGGTCGAAAATCAGGAAGAATATATGGATAAAGATAAAGGAGAAAGAAATTGCAGATAGGTTAAAAGCTGAGTGTCTGAGGGAAGAAATTACATATGATGGCAACAGTGGTCCTGAAATCTCATGCTCTTATTGTGAAAGAATTTTCTTAACATGAATGGGTTCTTCCAGTCACACTTGCCATTCTGGTAATCCTAGTTTCAGCTTCATAGCAAAAGGGTCACCCCACAGTTGCTCCGCTCCTGTGCCAACAAAAAACAAACGCAGCTCACAGTATCACGCCATGCACTCAACTCAGAAGCTGGGCGACGAAACTACACTTGCCATTGCCATGGGCTTTGATTACGGTGCCTCTCTTTAGCACTTTGTAGCACTCATCTGGAAAAACCAAAAGGTGTCAAACTGCCAACAAATATTTATTGATAAAATCAGTGGTTTTTTCCTTTCAGTTAATTCAGTTAGTAGAACAAGATAGCAGGTGGTGTTCCACACATCACACAGATATTTTCTGTTTCATCTGCTATAAAGAGCTCAAACGTGATGCTTATGTAAAAGCAAATAATGTACACAGTGCAAGAATAAAAGGGTGCCCATAAGTCTTGTTTTTACCAAGACAGTATCTTTTTTTTTTTACGCAGACCCACACCATCCCACGAATACTCATCAGTTGGGAAAATGGATGCTTATTTTTTAAATTAAAAAAAAAATTTAATATCAACCTGATGTTTTGAGCTTACCTAAAAATGATACTGTCCCAATGATATGGTCATCCTAAAGAAGAAGCACTTCTCTCAGTAGTAAAGTACTGAAAACTCATCCTGTTTGATATGTCTATTAGTAGTGAAATACTGAAAACTCACCTGGTTTGAGTATGTCTGTCAGTTGGAAAAACCTGTGCATGATGTGTATGTATATGTTGCCTTATTTTTTCTTTTCAGCTAGTTCTGTGTTAAAGAATGTTTTGTTGTTGATGTGTTTTGTCACATAGTGGGTTGATTATCACTTGGGGGATTAGCAGTAGCTATCATTCTTATTTCTGTTGCAACTGTTATATATATATGTGTGATTAGGAGATGTACTTGTTTCATTTGATTGGCTATAGTTTCAGCAGACATATCTTTTTCTTCTTCCCTGTTCTTGTTTTAAGAAGCGTGCATCACTTCTACTTATGAGGCGTTGCAAACGAGCTTGGTAATGCCGGGGTGCTAGGTTCGATCCCAGCTGCAGACGACTTGTCTTGCGTTGGTTTTAACAGTGGTACCGACAGCTGACCATTCAGGAGCAGTGGGAAACTACTGAACATAAAATTTCTCTAGAAAAACCACAAGAGCCAAAAAATGCTGGGATTGGTTCTGCAACATCCTGTTAAGGATACGCAACTAACTATATAGTAGGGATGGGGTATCAAGCTTGAGAATTCAGGGCTGCAAGGCTAGTGCAGTGATCATGGACTGCAGGTAAGGATTTTACTTTTGTCCCCTATCAAAATTTTTTTTAAAAATCACTATAGCATAGTTGCATTTCTGAATGAGAGCTCAGCGTTCTTAACTATTCAAACAGCTGCTCCTGAATATAGTGTATCTTCTTCTTCTTCATGCTCACCAGCTGTAAACTGGTCTGAAGTCCTGGTTGTTTGACCACCTCTAGACTTTAGTCATGTTCCAAAACTTGAGTTTTGTGTGCACATCCATTTTATAGGTATGGCTTCTTTGTAAGGAGAATGTTGGTTCTGTGCCTGACAAGCAGATCAGATGCATGCGAACCCACATGGAGAGTGTATCCTAAATTGGTGTAAAGTTGACTTTGTTTAGACAGATTCCCATCCCAAGCAATAAACTTTCCCTGGTCACAGCTAAGTTTTCTGTCCTGACTTACATGACAGATCCCATCCCAAGCAATAAACTTTACCTGGTCACAGCTAAGTTTTCTGTCCTGACTTACATGACAGATCCCATCCCAAGCAATAAACTTTACCTGGTCACAGCTAAGTTTTCTGTCCTGACTTACATGACAGATCCCATCCCAAGCAATAAACTTTACCTGGTCACAGCTAAGTTTTCTGTCCTGACTTACATAACAGATCCCATCCCAAGCAATAAACTTTCCCTGGTCACAGCTAAGTTTTCTGTCCTGACTTACATGACAGATCCCATCCCAAGCAATAAACTTTCCCTGGTCACAGCTAAGTTTTCTGTCCTGACTTACATGACAGATCCCATCCCAAGCAATAAACTTTCCCTGGTCACAGCTAAGTTTTCTGTCCTGACTTACATGACAGATCCCATCCCAAGCAATAAACTTTACCTGGTCACAGCTAATCAAGCTGCTTGGACAACACATGGTCTCTACAATCATGTTGAGGCTTTGTACTGTGGAGAGGAGGAACTTCCTTTACATGCCTCCCTAGAACACATTATAACACTATCATCTGGAAAGACAGAAAGGGACCAACAATCAAGATCTTTATTGGTATTAATTAGAAGTATTACAGTTTATATTGAAAAGATGACAGTTAACTGGCTTTTACTGTATTACAGGGATCGCTGTGGTAAAATATGCACTAGATCTCTCAAAAATGCTCTAATCACGATGTCCTGTTCAAGACTGACTGAGAAGTACCAGCGTAAGTCGTATATTATTTTCTTCTGAGAGTGTCAATAAAGGATTTCAGTCTCCCTGTGCAAGCTAAGGAAGCTGCTGTTATATACCTTTACCAATGTCCACTACACAACTCTCCCGAGTCCATTCTGTCCAACCTCTTTTGTTCCCTTCCGTGTCCATGCCTTGACACGCGGTGATGCGTGTTCATCGTGGTTCCTGGCTTGAGCCAGTTTAACTCAACCCAGTATAATCCGTGGTCAAGTTGCCCGGTCTAACACTGAGCTGTACTGAAGGTCAATTCACCATCATCACCTCCATTCATCCCATAGCCGAACTGGCCTCTGACAGTTAGGCTACTTTTCGATTTCCAACTGCCAAGGGATTTTTTTTTACATGCTCAACAATACACATGGGCATCCGATCTTACTACCCAGAGACCAGGGGAAATTACTAAAGTCCGCGTAAAAAATATCCCAGCATTCACCTGGGCTTGAACCTGAGACCTCCAGAACTCGAGGTGGACGCCATGCCTCAAGATCACTCAGCCCCTGATGAGTGGAGTAAAAGTTTAACAACGGCGTGACTTCTATGATAGACTGTTTATGACAGGATCAGGCATAGCCATGTTCATCTGCATTGTAATGTCACATGCTTTACACATTTAGCATCCTTACAAGAAAAAAATGGACAGGTTACAAGACAATGGTATAAGTGCTGTCATTTCTGTCTCACTAATAAGGTTTTCATTTAAAGCCCCCTCAGACGACTGAGAACTTTGCAAATCCAACATCATGAACAAGTCTGCAAATGGCTTCCAGAAATATGTAGAGGGTCTATGCTCCACCAAGAGGTGAAAGGCAGAAGAAGTTTAAAACATAATTACTTGAGGCTCATCAAGTCTGTAACGAGTTCCATGGGCTGATCTTGGTGATTTAATAATTTGCATTTCATTTTTTAGATTTCTTCACATCGGTGAGTGATGAAGATCAGAGCATCTCCAAGGAGAAGTTGTTTTTGCTTCTTGATGACTTAATTCAGGTTAGAGTTTTAACGTTTTTTTTTTTTTATGTCTTTTCTTTTGCAATTTCATCAAATGCATTTTCAGTCTGCTTCTCTTTTTAATAATTCCTTCTGTCACTCACCTGTTCATCTTTAGTTTTCTAGTTTTCATACAACTCCATCTGGACTGGACCATAAAGTTACTCAGATTTCTAAAGGTTTGTAGCCAACACAAATGAGCTGCTCGTGACACAGACTATACATTCTCACAGATTTAAAATGTTATGCTTTGTCATGAGTCATTATGGTACTGCAGCACTTGGTGGTGAACTGATGTATGACAAGATGTTGTGAGGGCCCTTTAGGAGCAAGTGAACAGTACCGAGGCACAGATAGATCATTACGCTCTGAGGAGAATGGCACTGCGAGGAGTTACAAAGGGGATCTGGCCGACGCTGCACACTCAGGGAAAAGGCGAGACGGAAATACAATCAGTTACTGGTATCATTGGAATTTTAACTTTTTGCTTGCTGCTGAAGGTGGGGATGGAGCACTTATGGGGGTGTCCCGAGTGCTGTGATGTTGATTCTTAATTCAACATTCAACTAGTCATTATTATATGTGTACTTTTTAGAATCACTGTGTTCAGTATTGACATAAACAAGGCACAGCATTTGATCACTAGTAGTTCTCCAAGAAAAATGTTCTTGGTTTCGCGGTCAATCCAACCTAAAGTGGGTACCAGTCTTTGGAAGTAAAGGCGACCAGCATAATGTTGAAGGCATCACCCATCGAGTGCTGTCTAATCTATAAAGTTAAGAGTTGGGCATCAGATGCACCCATGGCGTGAATAGGAGCCTTTACTGTTTTACTTGTTTACTTAGTTCCTTAAGAAGCTTATGGATGAGTCAAAGCTAATAGAATCAAGACAGACAAAGATACAACATTAGCAGTCTTAACTTTCACTCATGCTTTACAGTGAGCCTAGAACATCTTTGGATCTTGCTTATGCCTTATTTGTACTAGTATATACTTTTCAGTCCTGATCTATGGGTGTGAGTCATGGGCAATGACAACAGCTCACAGAAGCCAGCTTCAGGCCTCAGAAATAAGATATCTGAGAAAGGTTGTCCAAGTGATAAGAAGAGACAAACCCTGCAATCAGACAATACGCCAAGAGCTTGAAACCCAGACCTTACAAACCTGAATGGATCAGTCACAGTTACAATGGTTTGGACATGTATGCAGAATGGGAGAAAATCAGCCACCATGGGAGGCTAAGAACCAGGGAAAGAAACCTCCAAGGCGACCCAGGGTCCGCTGGGAAGACAACATCCCTAACTGACACAGAGGACTGGAATGGAACACAGCCAGAAATACAACTGCTGATAGAGAGGTCTGGTGATTTCTCTGGCAAACCTCTACACTCGAAGGTACAAGAGTAGTGACTAAGGAGGTATATACTTTTCTCAGGAGCTTTCATGGTCTAGCAGCTAGATGTTTGCCTGTGGATCAGAAGTTCGTGGGTTCAGATCCTGACAGGGTCCAGGCTTTTTTTCAAAAACGACCTTGACTCCCAGGTCGACCCAGCTTTGAGTGGATACCAGGTCAATCCTGGGAAGTAAAGGCAGCCAGCATGATGCTCACCATATTACACCCCCCCCCCCCACCCCCCCAAGTGCTGTTTGGTCTATAAAATATAGGTCTAGCCCTGTATACTCAATATATATGTGAAGGTGTGGAAAAGGGTCCTCTACTTTGTCGTCATATACTTTTCTCAGAACATTTCATGGATTAGTGTTTTGTTTCTCTTGATTTCATTACAGATTCCTTATGCCATAAAGGAAGGGGCATCATTTGGCAGAAATATCGCAGGAACTGTGGACAGTTGCTTCAAAGTGGGTAGTATTGTCTGTTTATTTTGTTTTTCAACTTTGACTATTTGTATGTCTTCTGCTTCTTAAAATATTTGTATGTCACTGTCTTTTGTCAAATCCTCCCTAAATTTAGTCTGTCTCTCTCTGTTTCTTTTCTCTTTCATTCTGTTATTACTTTAACAGCTGCTCTCTGTCCTTTTCTCTGTCTACTTATTTATCTCCGTTTATCAATTCCTCTCTGTCTATCTCTTGGTTTTCGCTGTCTGTCTCACGTTCCCTCTTTGCTTCACTCATCCTCTCACTAACCCTTTTGCCCAGAGAAGCTGCACAACTGATACTTCCAGTTGGGCCCAAGTTCCCATAAATGTCAGTTTTCTGACTTGCCTATAGGGACCTGTCCACAAGATGCTTAGTTAGCTATACTATTAGCTGTTTTCACACTTGTGCAAACGTTTAGAAGATCATGATATGACTGCATTAACTAAAAGTATAGAAGGGGGGGGGGGGGTAGTGGAGGGGCCTAAGAGGGGTTCCTTTGCAGCACCAGGAGCTTTATAAAAGCCATGATGTCAGATTTTCCCCGTAGCCTTAGTGATAGAGGTCAGGGTTTATGTTTATTCAACGGTTCAACATCCTGGCACACAGGTGTAACCCATAAGTGCTCTATTCTTCTTCTAACTGAAGCCTGAGTCTGAAGAATCTCAGCGCAGTGCACGAACTCTGTTGCACTGGCGAGGATCCTGAAATACTTTGCGTAGTTTTTTAACTCCAAATTTTGCCCGAGCAGTGCCATTAGGCTACTCATTGCGATTTCCAACTGCCAAGGGATTTTTTAACGTGTCCAGCAATACACACGGGCGTCCGGTCTTACTACCCAGAGATCAGGGGAAATTACTAGAAGTCCACAGGAAAAAATCCCAGCCCTTTCCAGGGCTTGAACCCAGGACATTTAAAGCTCGAGGCAGACACCATGCCTCGAGACCGCTCAGCTCCCCAGGAGTCAGGGTGTGAGTTACCTTATAATTAGGGCTGTACCGAATATTCGCTTCGGGGCCGAATAGTGGACCTATTGACTATTCGGTATTCGGCCAAATAGTTGTGGTCAGGCCGAATACGAATAGTAGTTATCTTACGCCTGCTTCTGCATACACGGCCTTAATACTGACAACATGGAACGATTGGTTTTGTTGAAAGCTAATGCAGCTTTCCCGCGTTAACTAAGCTGTCAGTGACAATTTTCAAGTTTAGTTACTTGTTATAATACTTGGGATTCTTTCATTCATAGTTATTAGTTATTAATTACCACAGACTGACTGAAGGATGCAAAACAAAATGTTTTTAAATGTTTACTATTCTGTACTAATACTAACTAGACATGGAAAGAATATGAACTCCGGCCACATCCAAGTCGATAATATGAAAATCAAACGAACGGAAACATATAAGTTCTTTGGTGCAAACTTGAACTGCTCCAACATGCTGAGAGAAGAAATACAACCTAGAATACAATCTAGAAATAAAGTATACTATGCTCTTCAACATCTGCTAAAGTCAAAGTGTCTGTCTCGCAATACCAAGATCAAAATATATAAAACGTTGATAAGACCAGTCGTTCTATATGGCTCTGAAACTTTAAGCAGAAATAAAAGAGATGAGAGATCATTACAGGTGTTAATAACAGTCTTACGACATCTTTGGACCCATCAAAGATGCTAACAATGGGAAATGGAAAGTGTGAAGCAACAACGTAACACATAATCTGTTTAATAATCTGTTTAAATCACCATTGATCACTGGCATCATGAGAGCTGACTACAATGGCTGGGGCATATTGAAAGAATGTCAAATGACAGAGAAGTAAAACTTTCTACACCCCAGAGAGGAATGGGCGTATACCACGAGGCAAACAAAAAAGAAGTTTGAGAGATAATGTCCAGCTAGATTTGCTAACAACTGGTGTCACAAATTGTGAAGATAGGGCCAGCCAGAAAGATAAATAGAGAAGAGTGAAAAACCTCAAGGGCTCAGCATGCTAAAGAAGAAGATGACTATTCTGTGCTACTTTAAAGTAAAAGTTCAGCGAACATTTGACATTATTAATGTTTTTTGTTTAGATATATTTTATACACTATTCGTATTTGTATTCGTATTCGGCCGAATAGTTGGTCCCGCTATACGTATTCGACCGACAGTAAAAATCACTATTCGGTACAGTCCTACTTATAATATGTTTTTTACTTTTGTTTCAGTCCCCAGTATTCTACATATAGCTTCACCTTGTTCATGTTTATTGATTATTCCATTCCTAAATCTTTATTTATTTCAAAACATTATTTTTAAAAATGTAGATTAATAAATTGTTAATGATTTTTTTTAGTGAACTGTATGAAATTGTTTATTTTAGTATTTTATTATGGAATTTCAGCGGGGTCATAGTTCATTTTCTTAGCGTTACCGGGGTGAAAGGGTTACCCAGTGAAGTGCTAATCAGATTTCAGTGTTGCACTTCTAAGGTCCTGTCACAATGATTTATTATGGGATGTGTTGTGCATTTGCCCCTTTGATTATGTTTAGTTTAAATGTGTATACTGATGTATCTATTGCATTGATCCACCAATTATAGCCAGCCTTTGGAACATGTTTATTGGGCAATTTTCAATTCACAAATCTTTAAATGTTGAGGTAATCTTTGAAAGACTAAAAGCATGCGGTGGGGCATCAGTGCACCAGTTTAAAGAACATAAAGTACAAACATCAGAGATGCAAACAGTGAAGAGCGAGAAGCAACAACACAGTTCATTATCTGTTTAAATTGCCACTGATTACCGGCATCATGAGAGCTAATGGACTGCAGTGGGTGGAACCTATAGAGAGAATGGCAGATAACAGGTAAACAAGAACTGCATACACGGAAGAGTTTATTGGGAGCAGACCAAGGTAGGTAATTGTACCCCACCAGGACATCACCAAAGCGATAAACACCCGGTGACACAGAGTACCACCATGCGGATGAGGATCAGTCGTGGCTAGGCCATATCTATGCCCCGGCGATATTCTGGGCCCCCGGCAGAAGCCAGGCTGGGGCTTCAAAATAACAAAAAATTGCATCCCACGAGGGGAACGACTTGGATAGTATACCAAGAAGACAGTGGAGAGATAATGAGCAGGCAGACTTACAAACACTTAAAGAGTCGCAAAATGTAAAGAGTTGACCAGTCACATAGATAAATGGAGATGGTTAATATCTGCTGCAGTGAACCTCAGGGGCTGGGGCTTGGGATGTTGATGAAGTAGAGTAAAACTTGAACTAGTGCAGCGTGCTGATTTTGTCCTGTTGTTAGATGTGTATCCAGAGTGGGATAGCGTAGCTAGCAACTATATTCTTTGATATGTGCTGATACAGGATTCATGTCGTGAATGTCCTGGCATCACCTTTATTAACCAGTTTAAAAAAAAAAAATACTGTGAAAACTGATAAATATACACTTTCCATATTTTATACTGTTTGTAATTTAATTTACAACATAACTTAACTCTAGTGTTTGTTTAGTTAACTAAACTTGAAACTTATTGTCACTGAAAACTGCACTGTTATGTTTGAAAATATGTTTTGCTGTTTATTCAAGGCAGGCAACTCGCCGAGTGGAAAAGTTACCATTGAGTGTTTCTACCGATGGCTGGCCCAGGAGCCGCAAACACTAGTCTGGTTGCCCACACTTCATCGTGTTATTGCCACAGAAACAGGTCAATGATCAACAGTTTTTGATTTGTGAAGTAAAACAATTGAAATCATTACTGTCAAAGATTGAGATCTCGATAATAGTTTACCCTAGCTGTATGTTAGGTTAGTTGTGTATCCTTTACAGGACGTTGCAGAACCAACCACAACAGCCCGTATCTGTTGTGTGGTTTTTCTAGGCAAATTTACGTCCAGTAGTTTGCCATTGCTTTCTGGACAGCAGTATATAGGAAGAGAAAAAAATGAAGCCAGGATGTGACAACATGGAAATATTTCAAATAGAAGTTATTCTTTTTTATAAATGAATGTTAAAAGTGACCTCTGACAGTTTTTAGCTTGTGTTTATTTTGTTGGATGATTAACGCTCTCGCTTGGACAAGTCACAAAACCAACACTTCCAACTGGGTCCATTTCCCATAAATGTCACTTTTTGATTATAGTGACCTGTTTACAAGACACAAAGTTCATGCTGTTGGCTGTTTCGCACCATAGTCCAGAAGTGGACAAACAAAACAACCAGAACTTTCTAGCAGAGTTTACAGCTAGGGAAAATTATGAAGAAGGGCTTCCCTTGTAGGTAGAAATAATACAAAAGTAGTATACACAAATAGAAAAATGGTTGGTGACTGGTTTGCATTTGGGGTGGCAAAGTACTGTATGCAATATTATTGCATGTATACAGCCAGCTTGTTGTGGCTGACAACTTCCATCAGCAAATTGCAGAGCTGGCGGCGACTATTGATACTGGCATCTATAGCAGCTGTCTCATGTAATGTTATGTTATGTTATCACAATCGACATCTTTGCACATTGGGCATCCCCATGTGTGCTCAGTCCTCTGATGCAGCAGCCACTCCAAGGTACCTTTACTGATTGTTACCATGAGGAGTTGGTTATAGTATCTCCTGTCTTTACATCTAAGACGGCCTAGTCGTGCTTCACCAAGCTTAATCTCTTGGTCACGAAGTCGTGTACACATTTTTTTGTTGGGTGTTTACATTTATTTGTTCACTAGTTTTCTGATGATACGGTTATGGCCACTTCATGTGATTTTTTTCGCTGGCACCGGAAAGGTGTAATTATGAAAGGATCCATTTGCAGTGAAGCTGAAACCTCTATTACCGACTACTGACTCCCCCCCCCCCCCCCCCTCCCCCCAATGGATAAAAGTTTAAAAAAATAAAAAGTAGAAAGTGTTCTGGCCAAATAGAAAGACAATTTTACAAAAATAATGATTTACTCAAGATTTATGAGTTCATGAGCAAAAGAATTTTCTGTAATGTTTTAAATTAGAGATTGGTTGTATTTTTTATATTTCAGTTGTACATAATGTCAGCTGTAATGCTTGTGGATCAGTACGAATTACAGGTCTGAGGTAAGCATCGTTATAATTGTAAGATGCCCTTTATAATTGTAAGATGCCTACAATAAAATTGTCAAGAGGCCCTTTTCATGCCAGTATGCACTGGGTATATGGTGCCAAACCGAAATTTGTATAGTCCAGGCGGCACTAAATGGATGACGGGGTCAACATCACTCTAGCCACCGTTACTTTCCCAGAATGTTTTCTGGCACCTATTTATGCAGGGTGTCCCTGAGAATCAAGGTAATTATAAAAATTAATCACAGCCGATATAAAAAAGAAAGTAAAGTAAAGGACCCTTTTCCACGCCTTTAGGCGTATAGGGCATATAGGGCTAGACCTATATTTTTATAGACCAACCGGCACGAGATGGGTGATGTGGTCAGCAACACGCCGGCCGCCTTTACTTTCCCGGGACTGCACCCGGTATCCACTCAAGGCTGGGTCGACCTGGGAGCCAAGGTCATTTTTGAAATAAAGCCCTTTGGGCTTGCAGGCAGGCTTCTAGCCACTATGCTACTGAAGATATCAGAGCGGGGGTAAACAGTTTTTTTTTAAAACAGGAAATGCCAGCATTAATAGTTGTTTACACCATAACCTGATAATACAACTTTGTGAAGGCATCATTCACTCATGACAGAAACAACAGAATGCCTTAAACCTTCTTCTTTGCGTTATAAAGCAGATAATTCTGGCTGTTCATTCACCTCTGGTCTTTAGTCTTGTTCCAGAATCTGAGTGTTGCGTGCACATCCTTTTTACAGATCTGGCTTATTTATATGCAGACTGTTGGTTCCTTGCCTGTCAGTCAGATGCATTTAAAAAAAATTATTAGTCCTTGATGGATGATAATGTCAGTGTTGAACTGAAGAAGAAGAAAGAACTGTTGATCTGGGATAGCAACATCATGTTTTTGTTTTAAAACCAACCATAAAAATACAAAATAAGGATGTTTTAAATATCTTAAACTGTTTTAAAAATAGCTTAAATAGATATTGCCTTTGAATTTAATAAAGGCAGATTTTTCCTGTTTAATACATTCAGGTACAGGTGTTTGCAGTGTGTGAAGTATGAACTATGCCAGAGTTGTTTTTTGCAAGGGCAGACGTCATTAAGCCACAAATTGAAGCACCCGGTCAGAGAGTATTGCTTGCCTGTAAGTGTTACCCTTTCTGTAAATTAAATGTTCAAATACATCCGGTGATTATAATATTCGAGGAGCGGCTGGTCAAATGGTTAGAGACCCGGGGTCAAATTTTCGGTAAGGCTGGGGATTTTTCTGTCGGGGGGGGGGGGGGGGGGGGCCTCAGGCTCAAAGACACCCCCCTGCTGAAACAGCGTTAAGTGGTATAATTCTTCTTCACGTTCACCAGCTGTACACTCTGGCGGAAAGTTCTGGTTGTTCGTCCACTACTGAACTGCAGTCCTGCTCCAGAACCTGAGTGTTGCGTGTGCATCAGTTTTACAGATCTCATTCTCTTGAATACAGACTGTTGGTTCCTTGCCTCTCCGGCAGATGCACTCCGACTTCAAAGGAAGCTCCCCAATTAGTCGACTCTTACGACATGCTTTTGGGTAGGCAGTGGGTCTATTCTTGTTTTCCCCTACAATGGGGCCCCGGAACCCACACGGGGGAGTGGTATAATAAAGACAGGTTATTGGCAGTTCATAAGATTCATGCTGCCATTGTTGGAAATAAATGTTGTTGGCACCTTTCCATCTTTCCAGATGATAGTGTTATATTGTGCTATGAAGAGGCATAGGACTCACAGCCCATGATGAATGTGGCTAGCAAGACCCGTCCACATTAAGAAAAGTCTTTCACGATTGGAGCATGGGATTTCATGACCTATGTTGCCATCATATGTGTTTAGTGTGTTTCTTCTTAGACACTCAACTCTCTTCCTTTCTGCAATAATTTCTTTCTCTTATTCCCCTCCTGATTTGCCCCCACCGTGCAACACAGATCATGACCTCAGTTCCTGTATCATTTATGTCTTGCCTGCACGTGTCTTTATATCATACAAGAAAAGGCCAGTTTCGACATCTTCTGCCCAACAGGAAATAGATGTAGGAGAATACAATATTTCAGTGAACAGCGTAATGGTAATCCATCAGCGATCAGATTAGAGAACATGTTTTCACAGGTTTCAGTTATTCACATTTTTCAACCAGCTGTGTGTTCATATACAAAGCAGCTTACAGTTTGTCAACAAAAAATACATGTCCTTGAATCCAGGAGGTGAGGGATATATGCTGATGCTGAATAGGACATAAATTAAGAAAACCTGATAATAATATCACTAGGATGTCCTTTCAGAGGATGTAGAGTAGCGATAGAGATAGAGGGAAACCTAAATACATGAAGAAAAGTGAGACAGCTGAATTTTATAGGAGGACATGGAAGGAGATAGCATTGTATTGAATGGTTTGGCTGAGGGCACAAGCTCCAGATGAGGATAAAGAGCAGAAGAAGAAGTTTTTTTAAACTGTTAACATAACATTTCTTTCTTTATTTAATTCATCAGTTATAATAAACTGCAGCTGTTTCTTTTCTTCTGCAGTAAACTTCCCAATAATGACTTATGAAGGTTAATAAGTTAATAATGCTCTATTTAAGCGGGAATTAAAGAGAAGCTACATATGTGCATATATGTTTGTTTGTTTGTTTGTTTTCATTTAAAAAAAAATCTCATAGCAAATATATTTGACTATTATTCAAGGGCTTCTGCTTGTTTCTGATAACAGACCTCTATCAAAGACAATACAAAAGCATTACTGGAAATACTGAAGAACAAACTTAGGAAGCATCCCAGAAGGCAACCAAAGACTGCCTACCTGCCAGTGAAACCTTTAACAGAAGATGGAGCCTTAACAAACTGGTATCCAACTCTTATTTTCTGACTTTTTAATGTTTTAGAAGCAGTGCTCCTATTTTCAGAAGAAAGAGTAATCCAGTGGTGTATGCTGATATATATAGTATACTTCTAACCTCTCCCTTTGTCATCCCTGCAACTCTCCTTTTGTCATCCCTGCAACTCTCCCTTTGTCCTCTCTGCAACCTTTCCTTTGTCATCCCTGCAACTCTCCCTTTGTCATCCCTGCAACTGCACAAGGTGGAGATGATCTGTTGCCTGTGGGACGAGGTAGCAAGTAAATTGGAAGATACTGAAAACCTGAACAGGGCGAGAATGATGCAGCGGGAATGTGTGCATGCTCTGGGCACCATGCCGGAAAAAGGCAAAAATGGGTAGTTCACCAGACGGCGACGAGTGTCATTAGTACAGAGACTCTTTCCTGGCTGTTGAAGAGGGAGACTGAGCTAATATGGACTTGTCCTGAATGCTGTGATGTCATATCTCTACCCAATGACCTTAGTCGTTTCACCCCAGATTGGACTGCAGGTTCCTTTGTGATCATATAAGTACTAATACAACTGTGTCAGCTTCTGTGGCTTGGACGTTGCAAAGGTGCTTTGTAATGCCAGGGTGCCGGGTTGGATCACAGCTGCAGACGATTTGTCTTGCATTGGTTTTGACAGTGGTGCTGAGAGCTGACCGTTAAGAAAGCAATGACAAATTACTGAATGTAAAAACCACCAACAGATGCTGGGGTTGGTTCAGTAACGTCCTTTAACTCTACCAGACCGATGTCCAGCTATTACAGGAATTTCCTAATCTGTCCCTCAATGTCAGTAATTTGCTTACTACGTGAAAACAGTGTGTCACAAACTAAAAATAACTAGCCAATCGTTGTCAGACCTCATGGATAGTCATTACAGATGTCTGCCCACATGCGTTTGGATTAAATTTGTGTTGTTTTACGTGAAAGAATTCTAAAAATTCACAATAAAACAAGCAGCTGATGAACCAAGCATTTCGACAGGAAAGTAAAGTAGGTCTAGGCTTTTCACAGTCGAACAGGTGATCGATACTTTGGTTGATTCAGACTCTGCGGAGTCATAATTTCATGAAGAGTACGTTCACAGTTGAAGTGACACAGTCAGTGAGAGCTCGAATGATAAGAAAATCTTGAAAATTATAAATATAGAAATAGATCGATAGCAGGAGAAGGGGTGTGTCCCTCAAATAGCAACATCTGGTGCTCACTTCGTGAAACAAGGCTGATCCTGCTGAGTGGATTGTCACACAAAGGTGGAATATTGGCGCTAGATAAAAGGTAAACCTATTTTCTATAATGTCTCCAAGTTTCATCTTATTCTAGCCACTTGTTTGCATGTAACTAATATTTTTGAATATCATGTTGTTTTTTGGCGTTAATGCCCAGGAGCTCAGGCATAAGGGGCAGGCAGTTAGGTTCAGGGCCTGAGTTCTGGTAGGGTTAAAGGATATGTAATTGATTTTTAATACAACAGTGTTATATTTTTGAGGTCCCCATGTTGGTTCTGGGGCTCTGTTAGTGGAAAATAAGAATAGACCCACTGCCATTCCAGTGAGCATGTCGTAAGAGTTGACTAATTGTGAGCTTCCTTTGAAGTCCGACAGCATCTGCCAGAGTGGCAAGGAACAACCAACTGCACACAAAAAAGCCAGTAAAACGGATTTATGCACAAAAACTCAAGCCATGGCACAAAACCCAAGTCCAAATGGGTGAACAACCAGGACTTTCTACTGGAGCTTACAGCCAGTGAACAAAGAAGAAGAAGAAGAAGATATGGTTAAACAGCGCTTCTAGGATCTACATCTGTTTGATACTAATCCTTAAGGCGTTGTACATATTGAGTATTGGATTTCAGTTTGTTGATCACAAAACACCTCAATCCTGTAGAGCTAAAATTACTAGCCTGTGTCTGATCTTTGCCTGCATGGTAACATAACTAGAGAAAATAGCACTCCTCTGATTAAAGACTTTGGTCAAAAACATGATAAGTTTGTGTTTTTTCCGTTTCATTTGCTGAGCTTTCTAGTCACATTTTTTATTGTATTTAGTCCTTCTAGGCCTAATCTCAGTCTGTTTACATGTGCCATACAATACTGATTCTTGACCTGGTTACCTCTTGAAATTTTTTATATGCAGCTTTTTTGCCAATGCTCAAATGCCATGAGAACAGTCTTCCTTTTGTATTTTTAACTCCATGGAAATATCAGCTATCCATGGAAATATCAACTACTTTCCATGGAAATATCAACTACTTTCCATGGAAATATCAACTACTTTCCATGGAAATATCAACTACTTTCCATGGAAATATTAACCCATCTATGTTGAGGATTGTGAAATGGTTTTTACTATAAACCACAAATTTTCTGTGTACCAGCTTTCAGTTTCTGTGCTGGAAGGTTACTTTCTTTGAAGAGATTTTCCCCCCATTGTGGTATAAGAGTTGCAGAGCAGAAGAGATTCAGACCTCAATGAATAACATTATCAAAGACTGCAGCCAACCTATATTGTGAATATGGTATACAGTTTATTCTTAAAAAAAAAATTACAAAGCCACACACCTCCTAATATTATGCCTCTGTAAATGCGAAGTTCAAGAACCAGTCTTGCATATCTTTTGAGTTTGAAGGAGAGCTGTGCATCACAGTCCCCTTGGAAATGACACTTTCATACAGGTTTCAGAAGGAAAGTCTGTGTGCTTACTTTAGTCAGAAAGATACAGGCCCTTTTCAAGACTCATACCAAATTTTCAGTGAATGAATCAGGCTTAACTCTTTCATTCCCAAACAACTATTCTCAGGATATGAGAGGCCAATGTCGTCTCTCTAAAAAAACAAGGGAGACAGGAGCAACAATCACAGCTTCATCTTTTCTGGCAGACAGAGTATACCCGGAATCACAGAGTGGGTTTAGGACCCAGAGATCATCAGTTGATATGATCCACTCCATCAGGCAGCTATAAGAATAGTGCAGAGAGCAACAGAGACCACTGCTTATTGCCTTTATAGATCTCACTAAGGCCTTTGATTATGTTAACAGAGGTGGTCCGTTCAAGATCCTTGATACATACGGATGCCCACCTATACTACTAAGCCTAATAAAATCCTTCCACGAGAATATGCAGGGAACCATAATATATGAGGATTCATCGCCTTCATCCTTCCAGATTTGTAATGGAGTAAAGCAAGGATGTGTTCTGGCTGTCTCGTTGTTTGGCATCTATTTTACATTGTTGAGGAGCGCATTCAAGACAAGCACCGAAGGAAAATATCTCCTTCGAGGTCAGGTGACAATTTGTAAAATGTGTCTTGGCTAAGTTCAAGGATGAAGGTGCACGCAAGATACCTCAGAGATTTTCTTTTTGCTGACGATGCAGCCATTGTGGCACACACAGAGGGGGTTATCTGCAGATCCGCTTGAATCGTGTTGCGCATGCAGAGAATTTCTGCTTATCATTAGTCTCAACAAAATGCAAGTGGTGGGAATAAATGTTGAAAACCCACCAAAACCTTAGTGCTTATGACCATCAGCTTTTGGCTGTACATGAGTTTGAGTACCTAGGCTCATGAATCTCAGGTGATCATTCCCTTTGTGCAGAGATAAATAGACGTATAGGAAAGGCCTCTGCAAAGTTTTCAGATCTCACTACGAGAGTCTGGTCAAACGAAAAGCTGACTGATAATACCAGATTGAAAGTTTATGAGTGTTGTGTCTTGAGCACGCTACTGTACGGTAGCGAATCCTGGACTCTTTATGAGCAAAAAATACCATCAGTCTACTGTCTACTGAAGCAAAGATGTCTGCATTGCTCCCGCTTGGAAATGGTTGTATTCCAAATGACCTCCTGTATGGTGAACTGGAAATAGAACAGACCTACAGGAAGGTCAAAGCTACGTATGCAAAGGTGACCTGATAGATACCAACATAGGCACAGAGACTTGGGAAAAATCAGCTGCAGATCGACTACTATGGCGACAGAAAGTGAAAAACGGATTGTTGCATTTTGAAAGAAACCAAACGCAGCGAGCTATAGAGAGGAGACGTCAGAGAGAAAATCAGTCTCCTAGCGAGGGAGTATCTACTTTTTTGTCAATCCTGTGTGGCAGAGACTACCACCCCCGCATCAGACTTTACAGTCACAGCAGATCCTGTTCCCAAAGCCATTATTATTTTTAATTATTAAATATGATTTACGTTTCCCTTTGAATACCAACCATTACCATAAAATGTTCTTACTGAATATTTTTTTTTTAAACATTTGGCTTAAGGATGTTAAAGACATCTGGCTTCTACAGAAGCCACTGCTGTGAAGTTGTTTTTATTTTCACAATGCCCATTTCTCCCATTGAACACCTGCTGCAAAACTGAAATCTTTCAGAGGAATCATCAAGCAACCGTCAGTACAACAAACCAGATCGACTCAGACATCCATATAACCAACCAACCAATCCAACACAGAAGTATGGGTGGATTTCCTGTCCTGGACATGCAGGGGAGTGAAATAACACGAGAGTCAATTTACTGACTGCACTGGTTGTGCCAGTGAATGAAAAGAGGATTTTTGTTTTCATCTTGTAATTTCCTTTTACACAATGATGTCATAGTCAGTGGCGCCACCTGGCAGATAATGTGATAATGTGACATTTTTGTGGTGAAAATTGATTGGTAGCATTGCCAGTTTTTTTTTTTTTTTTTAGTTTAGCTGAGAGAGTTGTTTGAAACTATAAACTTCTGTTCCCTAGGCAACCAGACAGCATCCATAACTCCATTGCCAGAGTCTCAGATTCGGTGGACTCGGGGCTTGCCATTGGAGCTGACCCTCGAGAAGCAGACATTGAAGAAGCTGAAGTTCAAAGATGTAATGAAACATCGAAGATCCTTGGAGAGCCATGCAGTGTCAGGGGTCCGTTTATGAGCGAGTCTGACCAGGTAAATGTGTAGACAGTCCCAGAATCATACTTTTGTGTATTGGTTTCATTAACTGAGTGAAATATAGTATCCGTTAATTGAGTGATCTGTAGTATCCTTTAACTGAGTGACATATAGTATCCATTAATTGAGTGATCTGTAATATCCATTAACTGAGTGACATATAGTATCCATTAACTGAGTGGCATATAGTGTCCATTAGCTATATGACATGTAGTATCCATTAGCTCAGTGACATGTAGTGTTTATTAGCTCAGTGACATGTAGTGTTTATTAACTCAGTGACATGTAGTGTTTATTAACTCAGTGACATGTAGTATTTATTAACTTAGTGACATGTAGTGTTTATTAACTCAGTGACATGTAGTGTTTATTAGCTCAGTGACATGTAGTGTTTATTAACTCGGTGACATGTGGTGTTTATTAGCTCAGTGACATGTAGTGTTTATTAGCTCAGTGACATGTAGTGTTTATTAACTCAGTGACATGTAGTATCTATTAGCTCAGTGACATGTGGTGCTCATTAACTCAGTGACATGTGGTGCTCATTAGCTCAGTGACATGTGGTGCTCATTAGCTCAGTGACTTATAGTATCCATGAGCTCAGTGGCTTATAATATCCATTAGCTCAATGACATATAGTATCCATTACCTCAATGACATAGCTCTAACTTATCTTAGTGATGTATAATATCCTTTAGCTCATGACATATGGCATTGATTAGCTCGATGACATAAAGTATCCATTAGCTCAGTGAGGTATAATATACATTAGTTCAAAGACATCAACAGTTAGCTTAGTGATATGCACACACACATACACACTCACTCACTCCACTCCTCTTACTCCACTCACTCACTCTGCTCACTCACACCACTCACTCACTCACACGACTCCTCTCACTCAACTCACTCACTCACTCCGCTCACTCACTCCACCCACTCACTCCGCTCACTCAATCACTCCGCTCATTCACCCTCACTCACATGACTCCTCTCACTCCACTCACTCCGCTCACTCAATCACTCCGCTCATTCACCCTCACTCACTCACTACAAGACCAAGACCAAAGCCCAGAAGTGGACGAACAATCAGTTTACAGCTGGTGAAGAAGAAGAAGAAGAAGAAGAAGATACAGTACAAATTCAAAGCTGATTCTGCACCCAAACTGTAATAGAAGCATCCGTTTTGTTTCCGTACTATAACTATTTGTCCATTTAGTGTTTGCACCAAATTGTTTTGGTATAATTCTGCACCAGACTCTGTCCAAAATAAATGGATGTAAAGGAGAGGTCGTTAGATTAACTTTAGCATATTTTGTGCCCAGGAACTGGCATTACTGTCCAGAAGAGATATAGAGAATCAACAGCAGCAGATTGAGCAGCTGAAACAAGAGAACAGGTTGGTTAAACAATGTTTAAATAGATCCTGTGTGTACAATTGCTGCAAACAGTAAGTTATTATATGTGTCTCCCCGTGTGGGTTCCGGGGCCCTATTATAGAGGGGAAAAAGAATAGACCAACTGCCTACCCAAAAGGATGTCGTAAGAGTCGACTAATTGGGAGCTTTCTTTCGAAGTCGGAGTGCATCTGCTTAAGAGGCAAGGAACCAGCAGTCTCCATTCAAATGAGTCAGATCTGTCAAACAGATGCACACGCAACAGTCAGGCTCTGGAACTGGATTGCAGTCCAAAAGTGGATGAGCAATCAGAACTTTCCGCCAGAGTTTACAGCTGGTGAACGCGAAGAAGAAGAAGAAGAAGATATGTGTCTGATAATCATTAAATTGAAAAACCTGTCTTTGAATCTTTAGTTTGTATATGTACCCGTTAATCATTTAACTGAAAGTCTTTCTTTGAATCAGTTTATGAAGTGAGAGAACAGAGTAAGGGTGCATCCTCTTGATGACAAATTGGTTGAATTATCTGTTGAGTGGGATTCCTGCTGAGTGAAAAAATCAGTTAAATTGTCCAGTGAATTTGATTTCTTCTGTATGGCAAATTAGTTGAATTGTCTATTGAATCTGATTCTTCATAATGAATGACAAATCACTTCAATTGTTCATTGAAAGTGACTCCTACTGAATGACAAATCAGTTGAATTGATTATTGAATGTGACTTCTACTGAAATACAAGTCAGTTGAATTATCCATTAAATGTGATTCTTCATACTAAATAACAAATTGGCTGAATTGTCCAAATGGTGTGATTCCTACTAAATAACAAATTGGCTGAATTGTCCAAATGGTGTGATTCCTACTAAATAACAAATTGGCTGAATTGTCCAAATGGTGTGATTCCTACTAAATAACAAATTGGCTGAATTGTCCAAATGGTGTGTTTCCTACTAAATAACAAATTGGCTGAATTGTCCAAATGGTGTGATTCCTACTGAATTACAAATTAGTTGAAATCTAAAGTTTGTGTCTTCTTTGTTCAGATTTAAAATAGGGAAAATGTGCTTTGAAAATACAAATCCCTGTGATTATTTTCTGTCAGCCTCATGTGGGTTTCAGGGTTCCTTTTGGTGGTGTGGTAAAAGGTAAAGGTAAAGTCGGGAAATGTGAACCAGCGTCATTGCATACGGTTATAAACCATAAGTGCTCTGCCACTAGTACGGACAGCTGATAAGAAATTGTCCACCTGTGTTGCCGTTTGCAAGTAATTTCATAGCTACAGCGACATTCCTCCATTTACCCCAGAGTGTCAACACTGGTACCCATTTCCTAGAGCCTGGGTGAACCCCGGGAACCACCCAGTTTCAAACACCGACCGTGGGCTGCAGCGAGTCGCAGCTGGATTTGAAATCGAGTCTCCTATCAACTGCGCTAACATAGCCCCTTTGGAGGAGGAGAAGGGGGGGTAAAACAGACCCACTGCAGTTCAAGAAGCATTTTGTAAGATACGACTAATGAAGTTTCCTGAAACTGCACGTGTTGAGACGAAAGTTGCAGATATTGCAGCCTAGCTGGGAACCACAACGCAACAAACCAGTCACCCTTCTGAGGGTGAATGCAGATGAACACAAATTCTCTGCCAGCTTTTCTGTTCCTAGCCGTCCCTATGTAAAATAACCCAAAGCTGTTGGCATCTTCTGAGGTCAAATTTATACCAAATAAGACTGCTAAGGGATGGTTCCAATATCAGAATGAGTGTGAGGGCATATTAGGCAGTTCGTTGAGGGTCTACTCAAACCTTTTTTTAAAACCTTTATTTTAAAGCATGATTCTCAAACAGTAGTCAGTGAAAAAGTAAAGATCCCTTTTCACGCCTTTAGGTGATTCGGGCATATGGGAAGACCAATCGGCACTAGGTGGTAATGAGGTCAGCATTATGCCGGCCGTCTTAACTTCCCTAGGACAGCCATTCTGGTACCCATTTTAGGCTGGGTCGACCTGCGATGCCCCATACCATGTTAAAAATCCACGCAGCCAGCAGTGGGTTTCGACCGCAGCACACTGGAATTACGAGTCGGACTCGCAATGCCTAAGCCACGGAGGCAGCTCAGTAGTACAGTACAGTAGTACAGATGTATAAACATTGTGAATTTCCCAAATCATTTTATTAACATATTACCATAAGTGAGGTAATCCTGGGAACGACGACGTATAATAGCATACAAACCTAATGAATAATGATGTCATGAATAAATTATATAGTAGTTCCCAGTTAACTAAGTCTCAGATGACTTTTTTTTTTTAAAGATCTGCTACGACGCTTACTTTTCAATAGTTATACTCAAGACCTTGTTATAATTTATAAATATAAGATTGCAAAAAGGATTGAATTATAAAATTGAGGTTGTTTTTAAAAACAAAAATAATAAAATCAAAAACCCCTTAAATCCATTCTGCGGCAGGCCGACCACCAAATAGGAAACATTGGATTAATAGATCAAAGCCACCAGAAAAATAATACATTCTTGAATATGCTTCAGAAGTTGGCAACAGGCAGTATGTGCTCTGAATGGGTAGAAAGCATTCGAAAAGCGCACTTAACCTCCCTCACCTGGATCTACACCTGGTCATGCGGGTGTAAAGGGAAATTGAGCGAGCGGACAACTGGCAAGCACTGCACTAAGGCTTGCAGGTAAAAGCATGGACAGAGCAGATATCGTCAACGCTGTATGGACTGGGCTAGTGGATAATGAGGAATTCCTGACACTAACATGATTGCGTGATATGGTAGTAACAATATAACCAGCTTCTCATGGGAACAATAAGTAGAAGTACTTTGGAGTGGCTGCTGCATCGGAGGACTGAGCACGCATGGGAATGCCCATTGTGCAGTGACGTCGATTGTGATAACATAACAATACATTCTACACACCAATCTTCAGACTCCACACATCCCACAACAGGCAAAAAAGCCACTGGTTCAGTAAGCTAATAGCCAGATATGTTGTTGAATGTAACTGGAAATGGTGATATGACAACTACACATTTGTTGTAAGAGTCCAACATATGCAGAAAGGGGACAGTTATTCTGGCCTGCTCCATTTAATGACATACTCTATGGAGATGTCAACAACCTCAAGTTGCCTGCTGTCTTTTTTAAATATATTCACGTAGATGTTCGAAAGTGTACAAAGAAAAAGAAGAAAGTAAGAATGTCATGAAATTTGTGTTTAGGTAACTCCTGTTTAGTAAAATTATTGCCATCGTGAATTTTCAGGACATTGCAGAGCAAGCTGAATTTAATTTATAAATATTGTGATGCTGAGTTAACGAATGAATTCAGTGCCGTAGACAAGTATGGTCCAGGAACAAGCTTCGACTCACAGGATGTTGTAAAGGTATGCATATTGATTAGCCTTGATATCATCACACCTGATGAGGTAGGTGATCACTTCCCTATACTATCATTTTTTTGCTGGGTTCTTAATGTATTTAACCGTTGCTTGTATTTAATATCAAAGACAATGGCTAGAATCTCTGAGAAAGCCACTGCTGGCAAGACAACAATTAATTTTATTTTGTGCCAGGAAATGCAGGTGTAAGAGAGAGAAAAACAAGACGATTGGCTTTCTGATGAAGGTAATGAAAAAATATACCATGCTGAAATACTTAAGGTATTGTGGAAAATGAACAAACAATAGACCAGGCTGAAATACGTAATGTCCGCGGGAAGAAAGAGCAATGAAATGAATCCATAGATTTCTGGGACCAGACTTACAACAGCATGCCAGATGCGATAAAAGTAAAGTATAGTAAAGATCCCTTTTCACGCCTTTAGGTGCATCGGGCACATGGGAAGAGCACCTATATTTTTATAGACCAATTGGCACTAGGTGGGAAATGTGGTCAGCATTACGCCGGCCATCTTTACCTCGTCAGGACACACATTCTGGTACCCACTTTAGGCTGGGTCAACCTGCAACGCCCTGTACCTTTATAAAAATCCATGCAGCCAGCAGTGGGTTTCGATCACGGTACGTTAGAATTATGAGTCAGACTCGCAACGCCTAAGCCACGGACGCCGCAGATGGGATAAAGCCAGACAATAAAACTATGCCGGAGGCCAAATAAGAATAGTAAACCAAACCAGAACTGACATCATCAATCGCTATAACAACAGCAGACATCATGAAAATGGAAACTAATCAGAGTATGCGACATCCATGGCTTAGGCGTTGCGAGTCTAACTCGTTATCCAGTGTACCACGATCGAAACCCACTGCTGGCTGCATGGATTTTTATCATGGTATGGGGCGTCGCAGGTTGACCCAGCCTAAAATGGGTACCAGGATGGCTGTCCTGGGGAAGTAAAGACAGCCGGCGTAATGCTGACCACATTACCCATCCAGTGCCGATTGGTCTGTAAATATATGGGACGCTCTTCCCATATACCCGATGCGCCAAAGGCGTGAAAATGGATCTTTACTTTACTTTTTAAGAGGCAGAGTAAAATCTAGAAAAATATGGATTGAAAGAATTACTCACATCCTAAGACTTTACAGCATCGCAACATACTAAATAACTGAGTGCGCCCTAGTTCAGCTACCTAATCATCTGTTAAACTGTGATGCCTAGTGGCACAAAGCAAATACTGACAACAGAAATAAAAAAATTTCTTATTCTTTTTTGTTACCAACATAAATTTTAGATGGAAAGATCCAAAACTTGTGTGATTAAATTTGGAATCTTCTTCTGCTTCTTAGTGTTCACAAGCTGTAAACTCGGGTGGAAAATTATGACTTTTCGTTAACTTATGAACTTTAGTCTTGTTCCAAAACTTGAGTTTTGCATACACTTCTGTTTTTTTTAGATATGACCTATTTGTATGCAGACTGTTATTCCTAGCCTTTCAGGCAGATGCACTCTGACTTTGAATGAAATACCCCAAATTAGTCAGTTGCCTTTTATGTCACGCTTGTAAGTAGGCAGTGGATCTTTTCCAGGGGTGGGCAAGCTATGGCTCGTAGGCCAAAACTGGCCCACCAGGCAAAAATTGTGTACTCGCCCGTGAGCCAGGTTTAAAATTACTGTGTCACCAAACATTTGATCCTGCTAAGGAAAAATTATTTTTGTGGACAAACTCAGACATTTGGAGACAGTGTTTGTCGGCGGCCTTTGATAATAAAATACAATGTGACGACCATTCCTTTTCTCTGGTCAGCAAGTTTATAGATCAACCAGCTTAAACAGATATATTTAGGAATAAATAGAAAGGCTTCAGTGGGCGAGTGTGTCTGGTCAGAGGTGTAGCAAGGGACTATAATCTTACAATATCCCACAAGAATATTGTGTGTTACCAGGAAATCTGGGTGTTATGTTTAGAATATATTTTTTCAATATGGCTTGCAACCAGGCTGGTAATTCAAAAGTTGGTCCTTGGATGAAGAATGGTTGCCTACACCTGGTCTATTGTTTTTCCTCCTCCCAAATGGTGTCTTGGAACCCACATGAGGAACTTGTCAGTTTGTCTAATCATTATTCTGTGAGTTAATATATTTAACAGCTCAACTGTTTATACTTCTTTGGCAATATCCACTATAGCAGTGTTTCCCAAACTTTTCTTAGTTGCGGCTTCTTTTTTTAAAATAAAATGTTTCCACGGCGCCCTAACCTAAGTAAAATAATGACTATTTGTATGTATGAGATTTAAAAAAAAAGCTTGTGTATCTTTGAAAATTTCGTGTCGCCCCTGTGAGGAGGTCACGGCTCCCTGGGGCGAGGTGGGACACCGTTTGGAAATCACTGCGCTGTGGGATTTATCTTATAAAGAAGTAATGAATAAATAAGAAATAATTATGCCTAACATTTTTCGTTTGTACTCTTCTGTAGGAAACATTGGATATTTCAATCAGTCCTATTGTTAACAACAGCACTACCAGCGCCATAAGTCTAGATAAAAGAAATGCTACTGTAGAAGATAAACATTCATCAAGTGTTCATGACAATTTTATCGACATCCGTCATATCATCGGAATATTAACTCCAGTCAGGCATACCAAACTGACTTCCCAAACACCACAATCGCTCCTTCATCAAAATGAACTCTCGGGTGAGAGTCTGACTTTTGTTGGACGGAATGACACCACTGTGCCGGATGGAGTTGGATACCGATCTGCTGATATGTCTCTCTCCCTTGACTTTACAGTAGACGGTGGAAGTCAAGAGAAACCAGACCAGCATGAGACTGGAGTAGGTTCGGTTGCAGCAGCATCACCCGGTGGTCTTGTCAATGCACTGGGGGTTTTAAGGTACTTAACACAATTTGATGAAGCTGTTTTGGAAACAGACAGAAGTCCTTTGCAGTCGCAGAATAAAGTGTTCACCAGAGCAGGCATTGATCAGAAGATATGGGAAAATAGTTCACTTGATTCGTCCAAGTTTGCTGCAAGAAACATTGCAAACACTAAGCTACAACTCAGAAAAACAACAGAGAAGAAACAGCCATATTTATTTTACAGTTCAGATATAAAGTCTAAACCTTCTGTTAAGAGTTCTGACGAATCTGATTTAAGCTATAATTCTGAAAGTTTCAACAGTGACGTAACAAATGATGAAGAGAATTCTCTTACAGATACGTCACGTATCAGAGACGATGGTATAAGTGTAATGCTGGATGAGATTTCTCATACACACAGGAGGAATCCCACGCCATCCCCGACCATGTACACTTTAAAACAGAAGATGATGAGGCACGTGCTAATGTCTACGCCAGTTAGTGCTTCAGAACATGTCACTTCACGGAATTTTTTACGAAAGCAATTCCGAACCATGAGTTTACCGTGGACTTCAGAAGAAGATAAGGAAAATAAGATAACGTTAGTTAGAGGTAAATCTAAACATTCTCAGTCTATAAGCAGCATTGATTTGTCACACCTGTCTGCCACGTCTTCTCAGAGAACTTCAATTAGACATAAATCTAAACACTCCCAATCTATAAGCAGCACTGACTTGTCTGGCTTGTCTGCGACGTCTTCTCGGAGAACTTCGATTAGACATAAATCTAAGCAGTCTCCATCTGAAATCAGAATTGCTAAGACTGACTTGTCAGCATCACCTTCTCACAGACAAGAAACTCTGACGTCAGTTAATTCATTATTGTTCGGTCAAGGCCTCAACAGTATTGATGCAAGCCAAAATGGGAGCGGGACTGGGAATTTGTCATGTTTGTTTAGAGAAGCAGAACACATCTGGGACCTTGTTAATGAAAACATGCCAGTGATGGGAATGATAAATGGAGATGTGCTTGAAAGGAGGATGATGGATTTTAAGAAAGAATGTACAACAGATAACAGTTTTCATAATGGTAAGTAATTGTTTTTTCCCCTTAATTAATCTTTTTTTTCTTCTTTTCTTTAGTGTGAAGAGGCATTTGGTGCAAGCCTTGGTATGTTTTTCCTACATGCTGGTCTTCAAAGCCTCAGATATTCCATCTATCCATCGCTTGTGTGGGTGACCTCTAGTTATGCTTCTCTTATATGCACTATCGTGTATTAGTCTTGACACATGCCCATACCAGGTGATTTCCTGCTGTTACTTACCTGACACTTTTAATTTTCCTGTCGTTCTTGTTAAATTACTTCTATTAAGGCTATTTAAATGGTATGACAACCAGATTATAATGTTATGTACATATTGGAACTCACAAATGCAGAAAACAGATATAGAAATGAAAGGACACTAGATAACAACAAAATCGAAAGCTATAGTGATCACGTCAAGAACTGAACCTGTTACCTCCAGATGATTACACCCCCTTGCAGCAAGAACAAGGGTTCTTTGACCAACCGTAATTCCTAGCACCTTGTCATTAGTCTGTTCATACATCCGATGCAAAAACTTTGGAAACAGACAAAATGTGTATCCAGCCATAAAGATAGGTTACTGAAACTTATATTAAACAAGTAAAGGTTAAATAAAAAAATAATAATCAGAACATAATGCTGTGTCTAGTGTAATTTGATTTTTGTTGTTGTCTAGTGTGTTCCCTTGTCAGTAATTCTTTCTTCTGCATCTGTGAGTTCCAGTCGTACATTACCATTTGTTTGTGGTTTTGTTCTTGTCCAGTTTTCACAACTGAAGTCTAGTCTGAGTAAACAAAGCAACCCCACGAGTGTGGTGAGGAGTTTGTCTTTGGTATCTGTATATTTGATGTCTTGGATACCATATGTAGGCGATATCATTCTTCTTCTTCTGCGCTTACTCTCAAAAGAGGTGGCTGGCACGCTGTCTTGTGGTTTACAGCTAGGCAGCAATATCTGCACTTGTCAGTCCAACACATTTCAGCAAACCCGTAATTATATTCCTTTTATGACATGCTTGTTTGGAAGGCAGTGGGTCTGTTCCCTCCTAGGACCCACCAGTGGAACCCACTTGGGGATGCAATAGAACAAAAGTAGTATCTACTCTAAGAATTAGATATGCATAATATACAAGCATAATGAGGTACTATATACTACACAGACTGCGACTAGATAGCTAAAATGTTGAATTAGGAATCGACATCACAGCACTCGGGACACTCCCATAAGCGCTCAATCCCCCATCTTCAGCAGCAGGACAGGAGTTCCAGTTTCCATGGTACCAGTAACTGTCTGATTGTATATCCGTCTCATCCTTATCCTGAGTGTTGAGCGTCGGCCAGATCCCCTGGTAACTCCTCGCAGCGCTATTCTCCTTATACCGTAATGATCCATCTGCGCCTGCGCACACCCAAAGGGACCTCACAAAATCTAACTTGTCATACATCAGTTCACCGCCAAATGGTGCAGACTAAATAGCTCAACGGAGGGACTGGAAAAGAAACTCTCTCAGACTGCTGTTCTTCCAACTCTTATGTCTTTTACTGTGGCCAAAATATTTCAATTTCACTTTGCTAGTGAACATTAACTCCTAAATTCTTCTTATAATCCTTGCCAAATAGCATTGATAATGTCTGTAGGCATCCATCTGTGTCAAGAACTGTCAACCATTTCTTATACAGATGTTTATCCTTGTCATGATGCCAAACTATCCAGTATCTTCTCACTTGGTCTCTTTCTGCCTCTCTCTTCTTTCCTTTTCTCCTCTGACAAAAGAATGAGTATGATCCTCTTCACGTACAAGTACTCAGTTCTCTGCATGACTTCATTTCTTGCAGAGCATCATTATTACATTTTCTATTCGACCATGCTGTTCTCACGCTCGCCGTTGATCGGAAGGTCGTGGGTTTGCTCCCTGGTGGAGCCGGACTTTTTTTCAGAAATGACTTTGGCTCCCAGGTCTACCCAGCCTTGAGTGGGTACCGGGTGCAGTCCCGGGAAGTGGAGTCAGCCGACGTGATGCAGACCACACCACCCATCTTGTACCAATTGGTCTATAAAATATAGGTCTAGCCCTATATGCCTAAAGGCGTGGAAAAGGGTCCTATACTTTTTTTTTAAAATGCTGTTCTCATTCATCTATAAAACCAGTAACTCCTATATTATCAAGTGAATATTGAACACACAATCATCATTATCATTCTCTTGTTCTATGTAATAGAACACTGACAATTGTCCTCCTTCATTCGACTCTGTCCTGTGCAATCCTTTCGATATCATGGATGGAATCCAAGCAGCACCTTTGGCCTCTCTTATCAACCTTCAATTTAGCGTTGCTCTTGGAATCCTGATTTCCTCAGTCCATTTATTTCTCATTTCAGTGAATGTTTGATGATTCTCCATTTGCTTCTTTTCAGAAAATGCCCAGTATAGGCCCCCCCGCCCCCTTGTTGTTGTTGATATCTGTTGATACTGGTGGAAATATTGAACACAATTCTATAAAAATCTTGAGTAATCAGAATGAAAAACAACTTGTCTCTAATGTTGCCTCTTTCATTTCTCCTAACAGTCAGTAAGAGTAATTTGTGTATGTATTCTACAGGTTTGTTTGACTCATCAAGAACTATGGATAGTGAGAGTAATTTGTGTATGTATTCTACAGGTTTGTTTGACTCATCAGGAACTATGGATAGTGAGAGTAATTTGTGTATGTATTCTACAGGTTTGTTTGACTCATCAAGAACTATGGATAGTGAGAGTAATTTGTGTATGTATTCTACAGGTTTGTTTGACTCATCAAGAACTATGGATAGTGAGAGTAATTTGTGTATGTATTCTACAGGTTTGTTTGACTCATCAAGAACTATGGACAGTGAGAGTAATTTGTGTATGTATTCTACAGGTTTGTTTGACTCATCAAGAACTATGGACAGGGAGAGTAATTTGTGTATGTATTCTACAGGATTGTTTGACTCATCAAGAACTATGGATAGTGAGAGTAATTTGTGTATGTATTCTACAGGTTTGTTTGACTCATCAGGAACTATGGACAGGGAGAGTAATTTGTGTATGTATTCTACAGGATTGTTTGACTCATCAAGAACTATGGATAGTGAGAGTAATTTGTGTATGTATTCTACAGGTTTGTTTGACTCATCAGGAACTATGGATAGTGAGAGTAATTTGTGTATGTATTCTACAGGTTTGTTTGACTCATCAAGAACTATGGATAGTGAGAGTAATTTGTGTATGTATTCTACAGGTTTGTTTGACTCATCAGGAACTATGGACAGGGAGAGTAATTTGTGTATGTATTCTACAGGATTGTTTGACTCATCAAGAACTATGGATAGTGAGAGTAATTTGTGTATGTATTCTACAGGTTTGTTTGACTCATCAGGAACTATGGACAGGGAGAGTAATTTGTGTATGTATTCTACAGGATTGTTTGACTCATCAAGAACTATGGATAGTGAGAGTAATTTGTGTATGTATTCTACAGGTTTGTTTGACTCATCAAGAACTATGGATAGTGAGAGTAATTTGTGTATGTATTCTACAGGTTTGTTTGACTCATCAAGAACTATGGATAGTGAGAGTAATTTGTGTATGTATTCTACAGGTTTGTTTGACTCATCAAGAACTATGGATAGTGAGAGTAATTTGTGTATGTATTCTACAGGATTGTTTGACTCACCAAGAACTATGGACAATGTTAGTAATTTGTGTCTGTATTCTACAGGTTTGTTTGACTCACCAAGAACTATGGATAGTGAGAGTAATTTGTGTATGTATTCTACAGGATTGTTTGACTCATCAAGAACTATGGATAGTGAGAGTAATTTGTGTATGTATTCTACAGGATTGTTTGACTCACCAAGAACTATGGACAATGTTAGTAATTTGTGTCTGTATTCTACAGGTTTGTTTGACTCACCAAGAACTATGGACAGTGGGAGCATCTTGACAGCTGTGGGTAACATAGGAAATGCCATGGCCAGTCTTGTTCAGACCACAGAACAATTTCAACAGGCAAAGCCATGATGTTGTGTCACCGGGAACGCCACGAGACAGACAAGTCTTTCAGCAGCATCAAGACATTCTGGGCCAACCAACAAGAAAATCTGAGGTTCTCCTTAAAACTACGGCCACTTATTATGGAGTACGTCGGAGTTCAGTCCCCTGGCCGCATTGCAATTACGGAGTGGACAAGAGGGAACGACACAAATGACGTACTTACTGTGTGTTGGCGATGGACAGCGTGAACCGATGAGGTAATTACTGTGTGTTGGCGATAGATGCACTACTGTCATAATAGGGTTAGGGTATTGGCACTCCTTAAAACTACGGCCACCCCTAACCCTAACCCTAGTATGACAGCAGTGCATCTATCGCAAATACACAGTAATTACGTCATTTGTGTCATTCCCTCTTGTCCACTCCGTAATTGCAATGCGGCCAGGGGACTGAACTCCGGCGTACTCCATATTAAGTGGCCGTAGTTTTAAGGAGAACCAAATCTGATAACATAATCAGACTAATCTTGTATGGGAGCCCACAGAGCCACAAAGAAAAAAAAAAGACAGGCAGACATATAAGAAAAAACTAAGGGAAAAGAATGGATTTGGCTAATAGGAAGGAAGGCAGCCTAAAAACTTACTGATATGGCAGGGCATCCTGGCTCTTGACCTTGTGCAAAAGGTCTCAAGGTTGTGATTTGATCTCAAGTTACCAATAAACTGTATGAGAAATTTTTTTCTTTTTTTTTTTAGTGCATTAATTATGTCAGGTGTTTTAAATAAAAGCTTATTTTATCAGAATTATTATTCTGTTTATCTGTCTTTATGTTAGGACAAATATAATTATTAAAGGTCATGAGGCATGTAACAGAGTTCATTACTATGCTTGTGATATAGTTTGTTGCGATTTCACTGCGTATAACTTGTGTGTAGCTTTCACATTTAAGCAAAAAAAATCTATATGTAAGCTTTGCGACCTTTGTGAATAATAAGTAAAACAAAAAAAGTAAAGGTCCCTTTTCCACATCTTTAGGCGTATAGGGCATATAGGGCTAGACCTATATTTTTATAGACCAATTGGCACAAGATGGGGGATGCAGTCAGCATCACACTGGCCACCTTTACTTCCCGGGACTGCACCAGGTACCCACTCAAGGCTGGGAAACAAGGTCATTTTTGAAAAAAGTCAGGCTCCACCAGGGAGTGAACCCACGACCTTCCGATCTGCAGGCGAGTGTCTAGACGTGACTCCTTTTGTGAATTATAAACTATGTGAAAGCCCTGAGAAGTGGCCTGGTCATACAAGCAGTACTGTCTACCTGTCAGACCATCGCTCCTAAACCAGCTGCCAACCAAGACCAAGGGTCTAGTCTGCCCTGCCATGACATTCAGTTTTCAGGCTGCATTTCTGTACCCTTGGATGAGGCTGGTTTCTTTCCCAGTGCACTCCCGAAGCCATTGCATTGGCACAAGAGGGATGTCAGGTTTCGAATATGCTGCTCAACATTAGTCATAAGGTAGCTCAGTCATATCTGACCATCTGGTCACCACACTACCACAGCTCTACAGCCAGGTGCACTGACTAATCACACTACCACAGCTCAACATATAGCCAGGTGCACTGACCAATACACTACCACAGCTCAACATATAGCCAGGTGCACTGACTAATTACACTACCACAGCTCAACATATAGCCAGGTGCACTGACCAATACACTACCACAGCTCAACATATAGCCAGGTGCACTGACCAATACACTACCACAGCTCTACAGCCAGGTGCACTGACTAATTACACTACCACAGCTCTACATTTTGCCCAATGCACTGACCAATACACTACCACAGCTCAAGATATAGCCAGGTGCACTGACTAATTACACTACCACAGCTCAACATATAGCCAGGTGCACTGACCAATACACTACCACAGCTCAACATATAGCCAGGTGCACTGACTAATTACACTACCACAGCTCAACATATAGCCAGGTGCACTGACCAATACACTACCACAGCTCAACATATAGCCAGGTGCACCAACCAATACACTACCACAGCTCTACAGCCAGGTGCACTGACTAATTACACTACCACAGCTCTACATTTTGCCCAATGCACTGACCAATACACTACCACAGCTCAAGATATAGCCAGGTGCACTGACTAATTACACTACCACAGCTCAACATATAGCCAGGTGCACTGACCAATACACTACCACAGCTCAACATATAGCCAGGTGCACTGACCAATACACTACCACAGCTCTACAGCCAGGTGCACTGACTAATTACACTACACCTCTACATTTTGCCCAATGCACTGACCACTACACTACCACAGCTCTACATTTCGCCCAATGCACTGACCACTAAACTACCACAGCTCTACATATGGCCAGCTGCACTGACCACTACAGTAACACAGTCCTACACATGGCCCAGTGCACTGTCCAATACACTACCACAGCTCTACATATGGCCAGCTGCACTGACCACTACAGTAACACAGTCCTACACATGGCCCAGTGCACTGACCAATGCACTACCACAGCCCTACATATGGCCCACTGCACTGACCAATACATTACCACAGCTCTACTTATGGCTTAATGCACTGGTAAATACACTAACACATCTTTACATATGGCCATTTGCACTGGTCACTACACTACCACTGATTTAGATACATCCATATACGATTGCAACAACTCTGTACATGACTAGGTGCACTCGTGACTCAATGCATGATTAGTTGCACTGGTGGCTGTATTCAGCTGTAACCAGGTGCACTCGCCCACCACAACAACTCTCTACATTAAGTCAGCACTTTATGTGGCATGTTTCTTTACCTAATGTCACACAGTCTATTATTATTGCCTTATCCATTATAAAGACAGCCGCTGTGGCTTAGTGCCTAAACGTTCACCTGCAGTTCCAAAGGTGATAAGATTCAGATCCTGAAGGAGCCAGACTTTTTTCCAAAAATGACCCGGGCTTCCAGATCATCCCAGCAATTTAAGAAAAGTCATGTTGACCCCTGAATTTTGATGGTCTATAAAATGATGGTCTAGCACCATATACCCAATACATGGGAAGGTGTGAAAAAGGCTCCTTTACTTCCATTATAAAGAAAACAACACTTGACAAATGTGTACTAAAATTGTTTATTGTTATAGAACTGAAAACAAAATGTAGTAAATATCTGTATTAAATAAATGACCATAGCTTTCGTGCACATTCACACAGTTTAATGCACACCACACATTCAAATTACAATTTTCTGGCACTCAATATCTAATTGGTACAGTTATTGCTACATTGCACTGTGATATACACAATAATAAAACAGATGACAAAAGATGTGTAGATGGTTTGGGAGGAAAGAAAATGTAAAAAAAAAAAAAAAGTATACTTCTCATGTCTAGCACTCCATATTTTTATACCAGTTAGTTTCTAATAATTGACATGGTCAATATCATGCTGGGGTCAAACAAATGTACGTTAGTCTCCCCACAGAAAGTAGATCACGTTCCATTGATAACTTTGTTGAACTGGTCTAACCTGCTGGAGGTTATGGGTGTGCCACTCTGTTGTTTGCTTTCTGGGATGTCTTGCATTTACTTTTTTATTCCGAGAAAGTAAATGCCTGTGACATGGGTTTCATCACTCTCTTAAGGGGGTTTTGTGTTAGACCCAGTTTGTCTATGTTTTTGTAGTGTTAAAGGTGCTGGAATGCTGAAATATAGAAGACATAATATCAGCGACATTGGGGAACACCCTGGTCACCTTGTGCCAAGCTCGGGTGGCTCAAGGTCAACCAGTCAGAAGTGAGCTAGGCTGAAGGTTGACCAATCCGAAGTGAGCAAGTGTGTTTTTGGGCGGTCCGTAGGGAGACTAACGTTTCTATTACCCATGCTGGCTATCTTTATCTTTATTTTCTAGGACATTTCATGGTATCCATGTCAGGCTTGGCTGACCCGACAGCCCAGGTCAATTAAAAAAAAAATGTATCAATCAGTTTGCCCTATTTTCATCTCCGAAATAAAAACTTGGGCGCACAACATCTGATTTACCTTTACAATGTGCATAAGTATTTATACGTTAGCCCACATGTGGCCCAATCGCATCTCCACAAATTCCTGAATATCAGACAGGAGTACTTGGGGTATTATATTTTAAACTAACAGAATATGTGTTACAAATACTGCTAGGGACTATATACACATACATGTATACTGATCTATATACAAATACATATGAACTAAATGAAGCCAAATATTTTCACAGACAAAAATATATTTTTTTAAAGAAATACAACCTAATGCTAAACCCTCCAAGGAAGGTTCTATGTCATGTAAAGAGTTGGGAGTGGGGGAGATAAACCTATTGCTGCACTTTTTTCTGCTGCTAGCTGCCAAGATGGCTTCTATGACTCAGTAATAACAAGAAAACTCTACATGGGAGCATACACAGCAGGAGTCTACGGGTCATCAGTAGAAAATCCTCCGCCGACAATTGTTCCGGCCCGTTACCACCCTAAACAATCTCGGAAGGTGGGCCAACCTGGGTCATGACGCCAGGCCCCATTATCTTCTGCTGCGCTTTTAATCAGAAACGTATTTGGACGAGACGAAGGTGAATCAACAGGTACTGTGGTGAGATTTGGTTCTTTTGTCAGCGATGTATTGTCGCCGCAAAAAAAATACTACAGTAAAACTATGAAAATGTAAAATTCTGTGTGAGGAAAAACAAAAACAAAGTATATGTCAGTTATACAGAACACATTAAAAAACAAAAACAAAACACAGAAATGATAATCTGAGCTGAGTCAGGAATCGGTATAACATCACTTGGAATATTCGCATACACACTCCAGTCCCATCATCAGCAGCCAGCGATGAGCTGAAATTCTGATGGTGCCTTGAGCCTTCCTTAGTTTGCTTATGAAGGTTTATCACAACAATGTCCTTGTTTTTTCCCACGTTCTGTAAATTAACATATTGTTTCTCAAAGAAACA